AACCGATGAGGCTGTACAAGATCGTCGTCGGCCGTCTGGTGCTTTCAACGCGCAGTCGTTTGTCAGTCGTGCTCAAAAGCCCTTCGCAAACTGATAAGCATTTGGCTCTGTATGCACGTGGCTCTTGGTGCTCTCGCGCTGTCGAGTCAGTCTTGCACATACCGGTGCGGGTGTCGATCCAACGGGCAATCGGCCGTCATCATGCCGCGTCTATCCGTCCACAGGTCGGCTCCGAAATGGTGCAGCCCGTAGAATCTACTAGTGGTGTTTGCGTTCAGAGTTGGGAATCAGAGTTGGGAGTGACGCAGGCTATAGGATTGTCCATGGGAAAATAGATGCCTTCTGACTCGGCCTTCCGCACCTCGTACAAGCTCGTTCGGAACGGCCGAGGTACAGGAACCGCTCAAGGATGGCAGTGCAATAGTCCGATGAGTATACGGTCAATAAGCGTTTGAGAAAGGCGCTGACGCAGTCTTTTCGAACCTTGGGCGAGGAATGGTCCGGGTGCCCTACCTTGAGTCTCGGATGAGGACACAGCATGATAGCCGCGCGGAAAATCAACCGCCGAAGCATTCAACAAGAACGGTCTTGAGTCAGATCACTCAGTCAGATCGAACAAGCCCAGCTCGGCACCGTTGGTCTCATACTTGAAATTGCAAAGGGTCAGACAACCGATGGCAGTAGGGATACAGCGTCGTTTGAGCCTGCAGAGGCGGGCGCAACGGTCTCTGCCATGGCTTCCAGGTTGGCCAGCCAGGAAAGAGCCGAAGGTTGAACTCCTGTGGAAGCGTGTTGGCCATTCCAAATCGACGGGCATGCCAGGGTTTTTGCAGCTCAGCGTTGGATCTTGATCGCGTCCCACACTATTGGAGTGTTTCACACTTATTTTCAAACATCTCCAAGACGGCCTACCCTGGTGTCGGGAAACCCGTCCTCAGTCTAGTCCCGCGCCGGAGTGCCACCACAATGCGCTTCCGTTGGCCCTTGGCGATCTTTCTTTTGGCCAAGGGCGGGGTATTGGCGCGCGTTGACGAAGGCATACATCTTCTTGCCCACATTAGAGATCCGCTGTCTCAGATCGGTCATGTCGGCGCTTCTCGGATCAGACGACATGGTAACTTTCCCGCACAGACAATCGCTCTTGAACGGCCGTGTGATCGTTGGGTCGTTCTGTCAAACTTGTCAAAATCGAACTCACAGACGTGAACGACCCTCACTTGCGACGATTCCTCTTATCGCCAGTGACCATGCGCCGAGTTCCTTTCCCACACGGGACGGAAACAGAAGGTGAATACGCGTTCTGATACATAGTTCTATGCTCCCTGGACGTCCAAGTAGGCAGCTGCAAGGACAATGTCACCATGCCGTATGCATGCGAGTATCACAGTAGAGAGGAGAAAACGGGGGGTGAGCGGCCGATGACCCTCGAAAGCGTTTGGATGGGGTGTTATCGGAGGGCCAGTAAGACGCAGTCCCACCGGCCCAAGTCTCTGTTGCATCAGCTCCCCGCCCAGCCACAGCGAGGGTCCCCATCGGGTTGACACCGTGACCCAGCATGGCGACCAGGGCGAGGTCGTATGGCTAGGATCCGCGTGAGCGGCTCGCAGGCCGTCGGGTTGCGGCACCCCGATTTTAGACACTGGGAAACGCTCTGCTGAATCGCCAGCAATGGAGCCCTCCATCGGGGAGAAGCGCGCTTCGCTTGCATGACGAGACATGTTTGCATCTGGCTCCCTGGTCCCAACTGGAGACCGGTTGTTTCGGTCCCACACTGATCCGCTCCGGAAGTCATGTTGGCGGTGGTGCTGTTCCTGCTTCTTGCGGCATTCATGACTCTGACTCGGCCGACTCGACCATGCGGGAGGGGAGCGCGGCTTGGGAACAAAGGCGCTCAACTTAGACAAGATGCATCGGCCCTTGCCGTAATGCTTAAAGCAACCAGGAGCGGGCGTTGCTGCCCATGCAGCCAATAAGAAGCGTTCGCTTCGGCGCACAACTCCGCACAGCCATGAGTCGTTCATAAACGGAGCCATCCGCCCAGCTGACAACATCCCAGGCCCTCTGGCGCAACGGTAGCGCGTTCGACTCCAGTTCCATCTCTGACGGTGGCATCGAAAGGTTATCCGTTCAAATCGGGTGGGGGTCACAGGTTCGCGTGTGATTTTTTTGCGGGCGTTCGGCGATGGTTTTGATCAGTTTTGTGTGTGTTTTGTTGTTTTGGTGGTGAGTGAGTTGAGTGAGTGGTGAGTGAGGCGGGTGGGTGAGCTGGTCCAAGGCAAAGGTGAAAGAAAGAAGGAAGGAAGGCTGGGCAGGCCACGTGTGAATTACCTTTGTGGTGTTTCATCCGAAGGGACGTTGCTGCCATCACAACGACCCGAAACTGCATTTTCATTGTCGTCGATTGCTGCCTTTGTTGGCCGGATTGTGTGTTGCCGACAATGGTGTGTATGAACGAGGTCCGACACAGGCGACAACGGGTGACAGTCCAATCCAATCGAGTACCTAAAATCTCCAACGAGTGAAACAGCCATGGCATGGGCAGGCAATTGATCCGCCGTTCATGTGCCGAGTTGTTGTAACCATGGTCTCTTTCTGAATCCTGACAGTGGCGATACCATTTCTCAAGTATTGCTAGACGTGGGTTAGCTCGCCATCTCCCGCTCGAGATTAGCAGCTCGTCGGTATTTAGCACATGGGCAGGGAAACGTAAATGATGAGTTTAGGTACCGGACACTGCACCGGACATTGTGACGTCCTCTACTACTCGCGGCATGTATGTGTTCTCCCTTCCGCATGTAGTATGGTACTCCAAAGTCATTCCTATAGGACGATTTGGCAGTCAGCCGAAAAAAGGCCATGGAGCTCTTTTATTGAATTTCGACAGACAAACAGATACTGCCCATCACTGTATACAGTCCTGCGCGTAATAATCTCCAGGCTTCCTGTATACTGGAATCTTCCCGCCCGTGTCTCTTCTCACCCTCGATGCTCAGTTTTGATCGATGCTTTCAATGCTTCTCAAAGCAGCTACCGGCGGTCCGAACCTGTGAAACCAACAAGAATCCTCGGCAGCTGAGGGGCGGAGGGGGTAACAGTTGCCTGGATAAGGGAGGTTTACGAAATCTGCTCGACTACCTATGTTCCTCTAAGGAAACCCGGAGGCGAAGTAAAGAGCCTTTTGTCTCGATGAGCCAGTGAAAAGGGGAGGCAAAGTGAGCATGTCGCACCATTATGAGATTCAGATCAAAGGTGAAAACAGACCTCCGTGGGCCACTGGACCATATGGAATGAGGTTCGGTCAAAATTTTCACCTACGCCCTCTCGTCAACAAACCGGCCGGAAAGGCGCCTTCTCCTTCTTGCCCTTTCCTGCCTAGATGCCCTCTATCACCAACCCACCTCACCATCTTCTTGCCACTCCACGAGAACGACTGTTATGTGTCTCCTCTACCAACTGGAAAGTTGTGTACGAAGGAGCGTTTGGCCAAGGCTTCGATTCCTGAAGACATAAACCGTTTTCCTCCCGAATCGCCCACATCCTTTAGCCCTCCTTGTGGGCAATCAAGGACGTAATGTGCTCCGTGGCAGTAAGCGAAGAATTGAACTCGATCTCTGTCTCTCCGAGACTCCTGCTCATCATCTTCAGGTATTACCCAGAATGGTTGGCGAAGCCAGCGACAAAATGGAAACGATTTGCGCCAATTGCGAAGAGCGAGGCCATGAGCTTGCCGATTGTGCTCGTGTGTCTTTCAGCTTGGGGAACCCCTTCCTTGTTTCGGGCTGTCCGATGTGCAACAAAATCGACCACGACTACGACCAGTGCGAGCTCTTGCCTTTGGGTGGCCTTGAGCTGATTCAGCACCATTTTGAGTGGCTTGTCTGGCGTCGCCGAAACCTACCTATGATCAGCAGTGCTGTCGACATATGGGCATTGGTACTAGTCTTCCCAAACTACGATGGCGGTTACCCGTGGTCAGAAGCCTTTACCAAGCATCTTCTTTCCAAGGGAAACTAGATCATCTGCCAAGGTCGGGAGTACAAGCATGCCAAATTCAACACCAGCATTGTTGATCAGTCAACAAAGTCTCTCGCTGATATTAAACGCCATATCAGTTTTCAGTATCCAAAGAAGGCCGACCGTCATTACGTCAAGCACAATCTTATAGCTCAAGGGATGTTCAAAGACGGGTACTACGAGATGTTGTTTGGGGCAGACAACGTATCTGAAGCCCAGAAAGAAAGGCTCAGACAAGCAACTACGCCCGTGAAGCAGATACTGGCCAAGGTTTACCGTGCAGGTGCCATATCTGTGCCCGAATTTGCGCAGGAAAGCAAGGCTTTTGCCAAAGCAGTTGGGGACTTCCTTCTTTACGACAAACCCAGCAGAGTGGCAGATTTTGCCTCTCTCATTGAACTGAAAGATCGGGCGTCGAGTAGAGCAAAGGGGAAACAGACTTCTCTGTCGAGACAGGAGGAGAAGCCAGCCGCTGCTTCGGAACCTCGTGATAAATTGAGCTCAGATCCCACTGCTGTTACAACTTTGAAGATTCGCAAGGAAATGTGGACGGCGCTGTGCCCAAAAAGAAAGTACATCAGTGACTTTCCTTTTGAGGTTCCCATACCTCCGGCCGCTAGGCTTCAGAAACACGTCGTTGATGACTTAAAGAGCAAGGAGAGCGCCCGTTTGAACAAAAGCCGGCGCAGACGCCAACGGAAGGAAGAAACCTTGGCGAACTACATCCATTCTCATGTGAGAGTTGGAGTCATCCGGAAAAAACTGCCCGACGGCGGAATGGCTCACGCGCTGGTGTTAGGCCTTGACGAGCAAGCGCATAGCTTGCGATTCTCTCACCTGGGTCTGCTACAAGCGTACGACATGGTTGTCTGCTGGGCATCAAAGGTCGACAGGGATGGGGTCAGCATCTCTTTGAAGAGCGCGTTTGACGGCTGCAACAAAATCGCCGAGGACATCGTGGCCGGCGAAAACCGCATCGAGGGGAAATGGCAGAGCTGGAGAAGCAGCTACAAAGACCCACGCCTAATAGGTCTCAGTTTGCCCACGCTGTTGAGAGCATCTCTGAGTGGATGGAGCAGCACAAGGCCAAGCTTATCTCTTCTCCCGAGGAGCGGGATAGACGACTTCGCAAGTGGTGCAAGAAGAAGCACGACGAGTTGGGATGTTTGGATGAAATCGTCCTTGAGAAAGCATGCCAGCAAGCGGCGGAAGCCAAGACCAGGGAATGGAAGAACAGCAAGCGGGGAATCAAGGATACGAATACAGATGATGGCATTGACGGAGATCGACCGACAAAAAGGCCAAGACTTTGTGCAGCGTGATGGTATCGCTGCGTCTTCATAGATTGGTGCGGTATAGAGCCGAGCTGAAGTACTTTTTTGACGCCGTTGTCCGCGGTGTTGGTGAACGACCGACAATCGGCTGAGATACCCTTTGTAGAATCGAAGACGTTACTGGATGACTCCGTTGATGCCGACTCCCATCGAAACCTCGATGTGCCGAGGGAAGATTCCGTTCTATGACACTACATCGGGTCTCAAAGCTTCGTAAATCTGTCCCCGATTCCATGATCGAGGCGTAATTATATGGGACGTGGGTCACTGTCGGTTACTCCTGACGTCTGGTAGACTGGTCCTCGTCATCTCCCCCAATAGATACCTTTCACATGTAGGTACATTCGTATTCTCTGTCACCATACTCCTAACGATATGTCCCATCCTTCAACAAGTGCTCCTCACGGAATTTCAGAGCCTTAGGTGGTCATCTGCCAAGGTTTCTACTTCAGACGAACAGAGTGAGATGTGTGATTGAGTATAGGAGCTAGAAGGTCAACGTGGTGAACGTTACAAATGACAACGATGAGACCAGTAGACGGGATAACATATATCTACTGCTAACCTCTACAAGCATGCCCTCAGCTATCCAGAACTGCAGCACCGTGACTGGCATTCATCAAACACTCTCTCGTTTTCCCTCCACCTGAGTTTGCTCGCCTCTATCATCCTCCGACCACTGCTTCGCCCTCCGGTCCCTCCTCACCAGGAACCAAATCGCGCCGGTGATGAAGAACTGCACTACCATCGTCCCCACGACGCTCCTGAACCCGCGAGTGAAGCGCGGCGCCTCGACGGCAGGGAACTGCAGCAACTGCGCCCAGGCAACAATCGCCTGGCCGATGGCATTCATCGACGCAGTCACGACCGCGCGCTCCTCGGCATCGCCAGCCATCGTCACCGTCGCCCACGCCATCGTCAGCGAGGGTATTGCGCCCTCGAAGCCGTTGAGCATGAACGCCGCAAGGCGCCCGCCCTCGCCCACGTTCCAGGCCACAAGCATGATCACGCCGACCAACGAGGGGACGGTAGCGGCCACAGACAGCCCGGCGAACCAGCCGGTGTGGTCCGCAAGAGCGCCCGCCGCAAAGGCGGAGACGATAGAGATGGCTGTCGCAACCGTCGGCAGCGTGTTGATCCGCGTGACCGAGTACGTCTCGGGGAACGCCTTGAGGTACAGCGAAAAGGGGGAGCCGCTGGGCTGCAGGTTCTCGTTCATGATGGTCCACTGCGCGACGAAGAGATACCAGTGCCAGCGGGTGAAGACGCGCTTGAAGATGTCGCGCGAGATCTTGAGCTGCGGCGGCGCCGTCAGCCCCTCGAGACGCTTCTGCGCGAAGGCGTGCAGGTGCGCGGGCAGCAGCCTCGGCCTCGAGCGCGAGGGCACGTCAGGGAACACGAAGAAGCCGATAAAGGCTATGGGGATGGTGATGATGGCGTCTACGATGAAGAGCCAGCGCCAACCGGCGAGCCCGTGGGCGTGGTGCAGGTTGGTGTACGCGGCGGATTGCAGATAGCCTGCGAACATGGTGCCCAGGGGGGCGGCAATGTAGAAGAGGGCGACACGGCGGCCAATCTCCGAGGGCTTATACCAGGAGCCGATGACGTAGATGATGCCGGTGAAGGAGGAGGACTCGAAGAGGCCCGTGAAGAAGCGCATGGCGTAGATGGTCTGGACGTTCTGCGCCCAGGCGAGGCCAAACGTCGACAGGCCCCAGCCGATCTCGAGGATGGGCAGGACGACGTTGATGGGGTAGCGGGTCAGGTAGTAGCAGGCCGGGATCATGGACGTGCAGTAGGAAGACCAGAAGACGATGGTCATGTAGTTGAGCTCGTTGCCGTTGAGGTTGAGGTCCTCTTTCATGCCGCTGGTCTGGTCAGCCTCGAAGAGATGAGTGGGGGGGTTGTAACCTACCTGACGTAGGCGTTTGTGAGGGACGACTGGTCGAGGTACTTGGTGAAGAAGCACAAGCAACCAAAGGTGAGGATCAGCAGGTCCAGGCGGAGGACGAGCCTCTTCTCCTCGCTGGGCGTGTCGCGGGAGTACCAATGAAGGCCCGTCATGAGTCGAATCCACGGGCCCTCACGGGATGTGCTCTGGGCCTCATCCCGGGTGTCAGCAGGGCTGTCAGCCACTGCAGGCGACTTTTCTGTGAGTGAAGCCATCGCGATGGTCGCAGCGGTCGAAAGAGCCGTCTCGGAATCTTCGTAAGCTTCCAAGACGCCCGTCTTATATCAACCAACCTGACTCGCCGTGGAGGTTGAAAAAAGCATTATAGCACGATGCATCCGATCGCTTTGCGCCAGTCGGCAAATAACGACTCGTTTCCTGATTCGGTCAACATCCGCAACGGTGGTTGGGTCGTCAAATGGCGCAATGCCAACCCACAATGATGGCACATGGCAACCCCATCTGCGTCTTCCTATGGGACGTCGCCGTTGCGCAGCTTTTTTGACGGCCTGTCCTGGGCTGCGGGGTGGGGTCGAGATAAGATGCCACGAGCTATCCAACAAGGACCCTGACAAGCACAGGAACCAGCTGGTGAGCGTCAAGCTTTTTTGAGGCGCCTCCATCCGATGGTTTGGGCCGAGAACTCGACCCAGCAATTGTTGAACGGGGACTGCATGCCGGAGTGGAGACTCGGACGGCGGAATCTACTTAGAAACGCCGTTTTTCGGAACTGGATCCGATGACCTGTAGTGAATGCACAATTCTCACTTTAATTGAATCTTGACGACTGGCCCCCGCTTGATTCCGCAAACCCAAACTTTTGTATCATTCATTGCTTTTCCCTAACCGATATTGCAGCGCCGCCCCGTCGATTAAGCGCCGATTCTTCATACACAGACTCAGACCAGGAACCCCTTGCGCGCCTTCACGGGCGCCCTGCCGCGCGCCAGCAACGCCTTCTTCGCGTTGACCGAGTACTTTTGTGCCTTGGGCGCCAGCCTCTCATCCTCCTTCTTGACGACGCGGAACAACGTCGACCCGACAACCTCGTCCTTGGGCCCACGGCTCTCGCGCGCGATCTGCGCCTCCGCCGTATGCAGCTTGCGTGCCTTGCGGGGCTTCCGATCCGTCTCACCGTCGCCGCCCTCGTCCTCTGAGTCGGAGTCGAGGTATTCGGCCGGGAGCTCAGAGGGGAGGTCAAGCTTGTTGAGTCTCCGGCGACCGGTCGTCTCCGGTACCGGGGCTGCGTCGGCCTTCTCAGCCTCCTCCTCGTTGGAGTCCTCCGCCGGAGCCGCGTCCTCCTGAACCTTGCGTGCTGCGGCCTGTTCCTGGAGGCGGGCGTTACGCTCTTGGCGCTTGCGCTTTTGAGCGGCTTGTTGTCTGCACCCTGTTAGCTCCGAACATCAAGGTGACAAAAGCAGCGGGACTCACTCTGCGATGGCCTTGTTGGCGGCTTGTGCGGACTTCTTCGCCTGTACCGCAGCCTTAGACGTGGACACGGCTTCGGGCGCCTCATCTGAGTCTGAACCGTCATCCCCTTCGGCGACTAGCGCCGTTGTCTTTTCCGCGGCAGGCTCCTCCTCCGCTACCTGGCCATCGCTCACGGACGCATCTGAGTCGTTGATGACCTTCCCCTCCCCTGCTTCCGGCTCCAGGGCGGGCTGCTCGGCGCCTGTGATGATCTGCTGCTCATGAACCTCCTGTGCATCGGCCGGGTTCGCTTCCGATCTCAGCTCTACGACGAGGGACGATCTCTTTTTTGACGATGGGCGGCTGCTCTCGTCCTGCTTGCTAGAGGTCTTCCTGGGCGCAGCCTTGCCGTCCCTTGATCTGACAGGGAGCTTCTGCTTCTTGGTGGTCTCAGTTGCGGGCGCCTCGGCGGCTGTGCGCTTCCCGTTCCGTGTGGTTACCATTTCGAATGTGAATGTGTGATGACGGCCTGCCTGGGGCGGACGGTCAAATCGTTGGTGGCGGTTTCACTAACGGATGCAGCGATGAGGGAGCTGGTGTTATTTTGAGTTCTCTTTCTTCGAGTAACAAGTTCCTGGAAAGAATTGGCCAAAAGCCAGGTAGTGCTGTTTAATAAAAAGTTGTCGGTGAGTTGGTGAGTGAAGACTGAATGTCGTCGCGGGAAGGTGTAGTCGCACTTTTTTTTCGAGGTGGGGCAGGCTCGCCGTCGAATAAATGGTGTTTGATTGGCTGAATCATCGACCCGCTTGACCGCGTGGGCCCCAGTCGAGCTAGCTCACAGCTGCTTGCTGGTGCTTTCATCTCAACATTAAGCATCAAGACACTAAAATCATTTCTCAACTACTGGCCAGCACCACTCAATTCATCGAAAGCTCCATCTGAAGACTGGTAAGAGATTGCAGACTTCGGCGACTCATTGGTTGTCTATCACGGCCCGCGGCAAGTTGTCTACTCGCCTCGTTATGGGGCCCTGAGGATCAACTAACCAAGAATGTTCCGCCTCGCGATAATTCCCGCCTTCCATGGGAGGCAGCTCTTGGCAGGCCTCCTGCCACCAGCCTTCCAAGCTCCAGCACATTTCATGGAGACTCGAAGGACATTCAAGCAGAAAGTGAAACTTCGACCCAGTCCGCAAGCCAAGAAGACCTCGAGGTCGGATAGGCCGCCTGCGGAAGTCACCGTCGAACCCCGCCGCTTGTTGTCCGACTTCCAAATCCGAATCAAAGAGTCGGACATGAAGCACGTCACGGCACAAGAGGCACATGGTATCTACACGAAATATATGAAGGCCGTGGCCGTTGAGGAAAAGCCCGCCGACTGGCAGGAGAGACTCGTCAAAGGTGACACGTCGCTCATCCTCCCTATCTGTGCCATCTGCTAACAGTTTGCAGACAGCAACGCCTCAGCTGCCAAGCTCCATGAGACGGCCACACTGATTTTGACCTTCCCCCAAATTCACAGCAGCGAGTTTGAAATCTCCTGCGGCATGTTGAATGCTGCCGCGGGCCTTGGCGACGACGCCGCCGCTCTCAGCCTCGGACGCATGCTCCAGCACACGGAATCGAAGCACTACTTCCAATGGGATCAACCGCGGTGGCGAAACACGCGCGAGCGGTGTCGGGTACTTATCGAGGAGGGCCGCGATGCCAGCGCCCTCGTCCTCAAGGGGCTGATCCACCTGAGTCGCAAGACCTCAAAGGACGACTCCCTTGCCCTTGAGGCCTTCGTCCAGGCCGAAAAGCTTGGAAAGGATGCAGACCAATTTGATTGGGAGCCGGCGTGCCTTGAGGGCCAGGGCGAGGCCTGCTTACGCTTGAAAGACAAGAAAAAGGCGGAGGAGGCCTTCACACGACTCGTCGACCTCGATTGTGCAAGGGGATTCTACCGTTTGGCCAAGATGTTCCCCAGAAGCGAATCCACCCTGGATTGGCTCACCAAGGCCGCCGCTTCGGGGCTCAGCGAAACTTACGAGTTGCTAGTGGATGAGCACGAGAGGCTGCGCAGCATTTGCATGAGCCAAGGCAGAGAGGAGGAGGCGCGGCGGCACGAGCGAGACGCTGCGGAGTGGACATTAATCATGAGGGCGAAGGCAACGCGGGGCAAGGAGCTCGATGCGGTCACCAAATCAAACTGAAAGTTGTTTCTGTAACAATATGTACTACTAGATACTACCCGATCTCGTGGGCGCTAACTGCCTTGCAGACCCGATTTAAGCATACTCTTGTCGATCTTTCCACCCGGGCTGAAGGTAGCTCCAGTCGCGGTTGAACTTAAAATCCGTCTGGTACTGGCCATATTGTACCAGCTTCAGCCCGTCAAGCTTGGCGCCGGCGTCGGTCTGCGCCCACAGGCTGACGGCTAGGGTGTTGCGTCCGCGGTTGTTGAGCACGCCCGGCGGAACGGGGAACCGCGTCTGCGGGCCGATGTGCGGGACAAACTTGCCGTACTGATACCCGTTGATCCAGAACATGACACGCGCGGTGGTGCCTGCGGGTGCGGAAAACTCGAGGCCGAGGGGTGCGTCGAGGTCTGAGTCGATGTTGAGCGTGAAGTCGGTTACGTAGAAACGGATGCCCGCGCGAGAGAGACCGTCCAAGGGGGTTTCCGACTCCCAAGAGCTACCAGTGGGCACGAAGCCAGGGAGATGCCAGCCCAGGCGCTCCGGGTAGAAACCGCCCTCGTTCATCGGCCCGCGAACGGGATCGATGTTTGCCTCGCCGCCGGCAGCGCCCGTAAGCTTCCACAGTTTGAAGCCCGTGTCGGTGCGTGTGCTGCCGGGTTGCAGCTGGGCGCCGAGGATACCGCGCGGATTGTTGATGCCTTGCGCGGTGCTCGCCTGGTCGTGCCCGTGGTAGTCGACAACGACCGTCACGACGTTGTCTGACTTGCGGAGCGCCCCCCGCGGGAGAATGAGAGTCTTATTGGTGGTGGTCGCCGACGCGGATCCGACGTCGCCACCAAGAAACTGCCCATTGATCCACGCCGACCAGCCAAACGCCAGACCGCCCGAGGCAGTGATGTTGACGGACGTGGCGTTGGTGCCGTCAAAGTAGCCGCGGTAGATCTTGGCGCCAGAGTAGAAGCCATAGTCGGAACTGTAAAGCACCGGCAGAGTGACGGGGGCGTACGGGCTTGGCGTGGTTGTCTTATTGCAGACCGCCCAGCGAGAGTCGTCGTAGTCGGGCGCCACTTCGGGGAGGGCCTCGGCGGCGCGCCAGTTCTTCAGCTCGGGTAGGATCACGGTGCGATCCTCGGCGCCAGGGATTTGCACGGTGAAAGAGCCGTACGGGGTCTTAGTGGCAGCCAGGCGCTTGCCGTTCCAATCGATAGTCTCGATGGGCTTATCGCCGACGTAAGCCTCCAGGGTGGTCGCCTTGTCACTGTCGCCAGAGATATGAAGGACGCCATGGGATATGCTGGCGCTCCTGACCAAGTACGGGCCGAGGACGAAAAGCTGCTCGCTGGGCTTGACGGCCGGGTTGGACGTCGTCGACGGGGCCCAGAAGCGCCATGCCGTCTTCTGCTCCAGGAGGTACACCAAAACGCCGTTGGAAAACTTAACCACTGTTGAGCCGGCAGCCTGCTTCCAGGTAAATGCAGCGTGGTCACCGTTCGTCATCTCCTTAAAGTCGGTGTTGCCAAAAACCTCGAAAGTGAGGGCCGTCTCGTCTTTGAAGGCGAATTCCCCCGTTTGACCTTCCTCGAGGTAAAAGACGAGTACTTCTCTGTCAAAGATGCCGTAGGTGGCGATGTCGGCAGAGGCGTACAGCAGGGTGTGCTTGCCGAAGACGTAGTCCGTGACAAGGATCTTGCTCTGGCGTCCGTTAAGCACAACGTTCGTGACAGTGACAGAGCCGGCGGTAGTTTCTAGTCTGACATCAAATTGAATGGGGCTCATGGAGTTGGTGCTGTTCTGCTGCACAATGGTGAAGCCGGCCTGGGTGTCTGGGTTTCGAAGGACCCAGCTGAAGGCCGAAGTCGAGGAGAGCTGTGGTTGTTAGTCGTGGCTTGAATAGGACCGTCAGCGACTTACACTATAGCCGGTTCCGTTTCCAACCATGTCTGTTTTGAGAAGATCGGACGAGACTCTGGTAAACAGACCGATGAGCTTTGTCTGGAAGAGCTTCGTCGATTGCTCGCGGGTCTCTCGGAGGGGGCGCTATAGTCGTAGCTGGTGTAGACCTGAGGAGCGGCGGCTGCTTGGGTTAGAGACATAACAGAAGAGCGAGGGATATCGTACTCACAGTGACCCCAATTCGTTCCTCCGTAGCTCATGTAGATGCTAAGCAGGGTGACTCGCTGGCCGATGTTGTTCTTGTAGTAGACGTCCGCGAAAGCAGGATCATGCTCGGACGTACACTGCTCAATCAGCAAAACTCCAAGCCGTGACGGTCCCCAACGTATCCCAACGTACCTCATCGTAGAAAGTCGGGCTGCCCCAGTTCGAAAACCACCCGCCCTCAAACTCGGCCAGATATCCCGGCTGCGTGAATGCGGCATTCTGGAACCACTGATAGTACGCCCGGTTCACATTGAACCCGACCTTGGGATTCGTGCAGGAAAGGCCACCAGGGTAGCTGTCGAGACCGTACATGTTGACGGCGCCTCCAACGTTGTTGTAGTCCGTCGACCACGAGATCGAGCGCATGCCCTTCTCGTTGTGGGTGAGAGGGACAACGATGCCGGCGTCGCGGAAGGCCTTCTTCAGCTGCTCCATGTAGACGACAGAGGTATGGTCCGCCTGGTAGACCGTCTCCTGGTACTCATTTTCGACCTGGTTGAGGATCACGGGCTGTATCTGTCGTCAGCGGGGAGTTTAGGAACAGAAGGGGAGGGACATACGCCGCCGTTGGTAATCTGGTTCGCAGCGATAATCTTGCCAACCTGGGTGATGAAAGGAAGCCACCCAGTGTGGTACCGTTCATCCGAGGTTCTCAACTTGCCGAAGCGGCCATTAGACCCCCAGAGGGCCAGGCCACCACCGTTGGTCTCGGCCTGCGAGCGTCAGCGCCTTGCATTGGAGTCAGTTGAAGGGGTTTATGCCGTACGTTGCAGTACGGGCCCGCTCTTGCGATGACATAGAGTCCGGCTTCCTTGCAATAGTCGAGCAGCCGCTGAATATTTTTCCCTCCAGTCTCAAAGTCGTATACGCCTTCAGAGGCGGAGTGGTAGGACCAGAAGAAGTAGATGCTTCGGGGTAGATGAGGTGAGCGAAGTACGCCAGCGCGGTAGCGTCATCACTTACCTCAATGTGTTGAAGCCATTAGCCTTGAATTTTTGCAGGACATCCTATCCTCATGATTAGCGGACGAGAGAGGACAGGGAAAGTGCAACCTACGGGCCACAACTCAGGGCATGGTAGCCGTTGATAGTGAAACTCGGCCGATCTGGCGTTCGTCAGTCTCCAGTCGTTTTCCAATCCACGGAAAAACCCACAGGATGTAAGTCCGGTTGTCGTTAATCACGACACTGTATTTGTCCCAAGACACCACATCAGTGAGGCCATTGTCAGTCGCCAGAGACCCAGACACGAACAGCCAGATCAAGGATGTCAGAGCCCAGAGCAGGCGCATTGTGGCGATTGATACGAATTACAACCTTGGCGGGATTCAGGTCACAGGTAGGCGGATCGCGAAGATGCGTGGCATTCCAGATCAGCACCCTCGGATGGAACGCTGGGAACGAGTCGATTCATAAACAAGGACCACTCAGAGGCCCAATTCCTCCTCGTTCCCAGTCGCGAAAATGCAGGCCGAGTGCAACATCATGACAGTTCCCCAATAAATGCAAACTGCTCCTCGTTCCAGCAATCAGCTGGTTCCGGGTTGGTCAACACAGCTTGATAGCGGGGTATCCCAGTCGTCATAACCTTGCCGCAGTCTCTGAACTGCTTCGCCGTGGAATTCTTCCGCAGGGCCTTGCGGTGTTAATCAAACACGAGGACCGGTAAAAAAGCAGATGCAGGACCGTTGCCCGTTTGGATCACAAGATTAGGCGACAACTCGGCGTTATGTTGGCCGAAAGGACGCAGTGGTGCTGAGATGCGGGGTCGGGCCCCATGATCATCTGGAGATCGGAGGGGCGAACCGAGCTTCTCCCCAGATACTGGTGGAAGCGTACCTGTCGGAACGCCGGGATGGAAGGAGACAAGCTTTTGGTGCAATGTGCCGATGCCCGTTTGCCGTTGTTTCCGGGCGAGTGCGAGCCACGTTCGATCAAGCCTGACTTCTTTCCTTCAACAAACAGCGACAGAGACTGGGCGGGTTGCCAGCGAAGATGCAGAACCACTCTGGAACGAGTCTTGGTCGCGCGGCCATCAAAGAGACGATATCAACCATTCTGACGTCTCGACCGTCGGGTAGTTTTCAAGCACACCATGAGATAGGCCTCCTGCATCATGACAAGCTAGTCTCGGCGGCCATTCACCCACATTCGAGGACAGCAGTGTGACAACGATTCCTGACCTCCATTGCCGACGATGACATCGCGACTGTGACGCCAGCGTAGCTGCCCTCTCGCACGATGAGTTCCATCATCAAACGCCTGCCCTTCGAAGCTTCTGCTGATTCCAATTAGTCTAAGCCGTCTGCTTTATCGACGATTGAGGATGCCTATTCTCGCTTCCAAATGGTTCCAATATCTCTCGAGATGTACGCCCACATAGAGGCCAAACTCCACTGACACTCCTATGTCGTTCACCTCGGATGTGACCATGGGGCCGCCTTTGCGTTGCCAACAGGTTTCCAACGGGAGTCAAATCAGCGCTTGAGAGCCCTGCAAGACTAAGAGCCGAGTCATCATTTACCCCGTCTTTTGCCAGAGGGTGTCTACTGAGAACAAACGGCGCATGTAATAACGGTAGCGACGATGATCCCACCAAAAGCAAAGTCGCGAAACTGTGCGCCCACGTCCACAAGCAACCTTTCGACCCAGCGACGTTGTGACAATCGCCTTGAGAACTCTACCGCGTTTGACACAGCAACGGCCAACGATATGAGGGCGCTACAATCATTACTTTCTGCAAACCCCAACATTGACTGCGAGGCACCGGGCGATTCAGCGAACATGTTTGTGCAGTAGATTATAGGGCGAGGTTTGTGAGTCAAGGATGTCGCAACCACTGGCGTTTGCGCTCTACCGACTTCAACAAGCATGTGCTGTTAGGTTCAGGCCCGAGGAGAAGCTTCGACAAGTGATTGCCGGTCATCAACTACTCCATGGTCCTGAACCGGCTGCGCCAAATATCTAGGTTCAATACCTAGACATCCAGTCAGTCCAGAAGAACGGCACGACCGACGCTCCCATGATCACGACAGGAGGCCCATGAGACAAGAGCTGGGCTGTAAGTGGATCGTCTGCTGCAACACTGTCCGGCCTTGCGATGTTGGACTCTTCCTTAACCTTCCGTGCAAGGACGTCTGCCGTCGAGATCATGATCAAAACTTTGGGAATCAACAGCCTTGCTTCCAATGCATGACGCTCTATAAATCAGTGCTCGTGCATCCTCCCCTCCCCCTCCCCTAGACTACACCAACGGCGGTATACCCTTTCTGGGCCGTTTGACGTCCCTTTCCGGACTTGGGATGAACTTTCAACCCCATTCTCACGGCAGCCGAGCGATGCCTTCTGCTGGAGCACGGACGGCTCATAACTGTTGAGAAGGCCTCATGCTATAGCAAGACCACATAGAGTCCGCGAGGCTACTATACGACCACCTGTTTAGATCTCGACGACCGCAGCCCTGCTTGTAACCCCCCCTGGTTGACTTTGCTGGTGAATCGATAGCGTCGAAGCTTCGGCGCCCCCTGAGAACGGGTTGCACCAGGGTATTGACCTCCTTACCAAGATTTGCAGGCAGCCAAGCAGAGACTTGATACGATATACTTTTCTTCTTCGGGGAGCAGGGGGCAATCGTGCCGCTGGCCACCGACCAGGGTAGCCGAGATTGAAAGGGAAAGCGAAATGCAATGACCCCTTTCGAACAATGATGACACCTTGGCAGGGCGGTCCTCTCATCAAATTTAACATCAACTCCCCGAAACCGTTGTCATTTTGCTGCATGTGGTCAATTTGCGGTTTGCTTCGCCCCGGATTCCCAACCACTCACGTAGGCCCCTGGATGCCGCGAGGGTGCCGGAGAATTACCCTTGCGCATCCATGCGGGAGCTGCCCAGTTCTACACTACATTCGGAAGGGGGAACAAAGTCAGGTGGCGGGAGAAGTCGGTAGCTAATGTATTGATGCGCCAGTGCGTAACCGGCCTCGAAGATGATTGATATCGTTGTGCGTCGACCTTAAAGTCGTTGGCCGAGTGCGGCGACTACCGGCGAGGCTTCAACTCAACGAGCCGGGCTAATTACAAGGAGGGAGGCCAAGGCGGAGAGCACCCGAACCAATACACACCGGCGCGTGGGTGTTGGTGATGACCACCGCTGCCGGCTCGCCGACATCAGCCATGAATAAGCATGCCGTGGCTGAGCAGCGGCACAGACTTTGACAACGTCTCAGCGCGGATGGCATCTGCCGCTTCTTCAGGCCCATCGTGGGTCTACCCGACGGTTCTGCAGGTTGCCGCGAGCGAGGGCGAGACGACGCGTCGTTTGACTGCCTCTTACAATCCGCGACGTGCAGCCCCGACTTCACTTGACGACGGCTGCACGACTGACACCGGCATGGACACCTATTAATACGTAATGCAAAACAGCGATGTGGTCATGAAGTCAATCCCAACCTGCCGTCCTGACTGAACAAGGGCCGTTGTTCCTATAGTGGTATGTATGTATCAGATGGCCAGCATTGCAGTCCGCGTGCGCTGCCGCCGAGACATCTTCGCCCACGTACCAAGCAATGTTTGACTGGCTAAAGTGGACGAGGGAGAGAGAGAGAGAGACAGATAGTTTAGGGAGATGAGAATGTGTTACAAACGGAACAAGACAGTGACCCGATACTCAACGACAGTGACAGGCCTACACGTGTCGAGCGCATCGCAGCCTGCCATCGCGCGGTTTCAGCTGTTCCTGGACAGAGAAGATGACGGTGACAGTGATGGTTCGGCGGGCGACGCGAGGTTGTGACGCTCGCCCGTTCTGAGCGCAAGAGGCCGGCGGGCTAATCCGACTTTGACCCTCTTTGCTTGCCGACTAAGGCGAAACTCTGGTGCTGACTGCGCCGTCCGTGCTTTCCAAATATGGCAGCATCAAGGAGCTAAGCAATGACAACTGTTGCTTGACGATAAGAGAAAAACAACAACAGAAAAACAAGAAAACCGACAGAGAGGCAGAAATTGTGTGTTTCAACTCTGTCAAACATGTGTGCGGGCTGACACGTTGCGGGTGGACCTGGGGAGGAGCGGTTCGCAGACTGCAGACGCCTTGAAGCTATCTGCACTGAGGGTTTAATGTTCGTCGGTGCGGCAGTCATGGCGGGGATGTTCCCTCGAACCCCCAGAATAACGCCGAGTCATTATTATCGTTGTAGCAAATAGCCGTTTCTCTTCGGCGGTGACGGCAGCGTTTGTTGGTTTGTACAGATGAACTCCCCTCTTTTGACAACCGCCATTCCAAGCAAGATCCTAGAGTGGGCTGCGAATGGGATGCGACGGGAAGGGGGCCCAGCTTGGTGGTGAGGAACAGTAGTTCTTGCCAAGTTGCTTCTCTCGCTGCTGATTGCTGCAGAAAAGGTTGAACACCGGGTCGGACCCCACAGGGCGTGCGCGTTTATGACTCTTTTGCTTCCCGAATTTCCCTCTTGATGCCGCATGGTGAAAAGTTCGGTCTGAGCAGAAAAAGACTCAAATACAAAACTGAAAAATGACAAAGCAGCTTGCAGATGGTCGTGGGCCACTCCCCACAGCGAGATGCATCAGCGTGAGCCCTAAACGCAGGAACAGGCACATCTGGACCTGGCATTCTTCGTCCGATGGGGGATGTGACGAATGATATGCGACGGATTTGCTCCCACCCATGGGGCCGCGGAACGGCGAGCGGTCGCCTCAGCATCGCATCGCAGCGCATCAGACAAGGGTGCTTGGTCAGGTACCCGCGGTACGTAGTATGTACTGTTGGGTGCGTCGAGGTGGACTACCTAGGCCTATTTGGTGCTTCGGAGAAACACAACACCGTAGGTACTACCTACGTCCTGTGTCAGCAAATTGATCGTTTTCCGACCCTCCTTTGCAACGGGTCCCTCCATCTGTGCAAGACATGTGTAAAAAGAGAGACTCCCGCATGGCAGTCAGCCCAATGACAAGCCACCGGCATGCCAACCCCATGGCCTGTCTCATGTCTAATCGAGAGCCCATCGATTCGAGAGATGACGAGCAGCGGGGGAGGCGTGGACCAGCGTCTCTGATTGGGGAACGTCGGAGAAAAAGGAAGCAGCAATAGAAGATGTGGAAATGCGCCGCAAGCCTCCCCAACTCCGCGCTGGCGTGCGCCCAACAGGAATGGCTGCGGCTGGGCTAGCTGGACTCCTGGCGCGCCGTGGATGACCGGGCTGCTGGTAAGCCGATCATGAGGAGAGGGCAGGCGACAACAAGGTTGTCGAGTGCCCTGCTTCCCGGCGGAAGAGAAAGCCAAGTCAGGGCCAGATGAATCTTAGATGCAGTCTTTCGTCATCAGCGCCGCTTCTTCCAAGGCCCAGGAGTTCCAGGCTTCTGGCCGTGGATCTAATTCCCGCAAGCCCCGTCAGGCACGTTGGATCCTGGTGGCGCTCCGGTCCCCCCCTCTCGTGTCGGGCCTTGTCGTGCCTTGTCGTGCCTTGTCAATGTTGTCTGTCGTCGTCTGTCTGACTGACTGTCTGTTGCCCTGCCCTGCCCTGGTGTTAGCCCTGCCGTTCGCTTGACGGGGGACTGGCGAATCGCAAGCCTGCTGCAGCCCGGCTGTGAGAGAATGGCCCATTCTCGGCCAGGGCTGTGTCGTGGAAAAGTGGTTGTGCTGTGGAGAGACAAGGAGACAAGCTTGTGTCGGAGCTGTGGTGGAGAGGTCGGTGGTAGGCCTTGTTACTGATCAAGGCCGCGAGATTTGCAGTGGGGAAGAGGGAAATGAGAAAAGTCATCGAATCAAGGCAGCGGGATGGTAACAGCGTGAAGGGAGCTGGGAGCCTGGGCCCACGGCTGGCGGATGCTTGGCCGTGGGCGTGTGCGGGAGGCCGACAAACAAGAACGCCGGAAGGTACTTGGGCTTGGGATGGAAGGCCTTTCCCGGCGACTAAGGGGGCTTTCATTCGCTGGGCGGCCAGGTACCGGTAGTGTACGCTACCTACACAGAAGCGAGGGACGTACCCCGGCATGGCATTGTCACATCTGCCATCGTATCGAGCCCTCTGGTCGTCCTTTCATCAGAGCTTCCGTGTCCCATTAAACGGGCCTTTGTTGCGCCGCGGGTCCTGAGCATTGGTATACGCCTGGCTGTCGGTTCGCACTGGCTTCGGCTTAGCAGTAGGTATCAGCATCTGACCTGGCAACAACCGTGGAGGGAGCCTTTGCGACAAAATACGAATGGGTACCGTAGAGGGAACCCAACCCGCCACGAGTCGTTCCCAGCAACCGAGAACAGAAGCGTTCGCACATGAGACAGTTCCCTGAATATGGTCCTGGACTCTGCAAAATCCATGGTTCACGGCAAACCAGTCAATTGGGTCCATCGGGAATTAAGACGGACCAAATGTACCTCTGGGCGAGGGTACCGACTTCCCGCCTCTGCTCACTGCGCATCACTGCGCATCACTGCGCATCTTCATGTACCTAGACTTTTACATCATTTCGCACTTTGGCACCCATGAAAATTTTCACCGATAGATCGGGCTCCCTGTCTCTGGCAGTCCCAGGCATGGTCTTTTCTTTCGCGAGTACCTTGCCTAGTCCCCCCCCCCTCTCAAGGAAAGGTTAGAACGTTACATCTCACTACACTTGCCCCAAGAAACTCCAGCCAACTCAGCCAAATCCGGACTAAATTTTTTTTCTTGTTTTTTTGTTCGTATGTTTTTTTTGCTTGTTGGGGGAGGCCGAGCTATTTGGGCCCAGTTTGGAATTCGCATGCGCTCCCCTCCGTTGCTGCGAACCAAGACCAAGAAGCTGCGTCATCAATGTTGGCGACAGCCTCCGCAGGACCGCAGCTGACTGTCTTCGTCGACCAGCCGTTGTGTGCGCGCGCGCGCAACCACATGGCGGCTTTGCTCTACCCTATCCAGTATTTATCTGACCGCCCGCTTCTCACAGCATAAGCTGGAGCCCATAGCGTGCGTGCCCCGGGGGGACGGCACAAAAGGGGCGCGCTCTTGTTATGCAAACATACCCTCTGCAGAACATGGACCACCCATGCGCAGAGTCATTCCGTCGCCCCCCTCTCTGCCCTGTCTCTCCCTGAGTCCCCTCAGGAGAGAGGGCCCCTCAGGTACGCCGTCCGCTCTCCACCGGGCCACCTGGAAGAACCCCCGGAAGCCGCTTCGTGGAGAAAGGCACCGAGGCGGGAGGAGGGAACACCCCTCTCGAAACAGGAGAGCACTGGCTTTTGCCTTTTGCATTGGCCAATTGCCATGCCAACGGGTGGATGGTTTGGCATCACCAACCAAAAACCACTTCTCCTTCTGTTTACTACCGGGCGATTCAGCAGTTGACTCGTCTGAAGCCTCTTACCTCTTCCACCTGTCTCGAAGTCATCGTGTGCTGTGTGTGGCGGCCACAGGCTCGGAGAGAACGGTTCCCGCCGTCAATGGTCTTGAGTGAGTCGATCTCTCTCCCTCTGTTCGCGACCAACCGACAAGGATTCACGTCCTGTCTCACCTAGAAAAACAAACAACGTGCATCAAAGTAGAGACGCCACGCATCTCATCGCTAGCTCCGTCGATCATGGTGCCTCTGCTTTGGGCGAGGGGGTGCGGCATACCTAGCAAGATCAAAATAGGCTGGCAGACGATTGATGGACTGCCAGTCTGATTCGCGGATGTAAGGGAGCGCTCGCAATTGGCAGCTTGACGAGCAACTCCTGCGAGGCTCGGAGATTGTGCCTGCACCTCCCCCTCGCATGAGATGCCGACTGCAGCTCTCGAGTCCAGCCTTACCCTGCGCCGCCGAGCGAGTAGTGCCTCTCCAGCGACACGACGCTGCAACCATGCCAAAAGCGATACAATGTAAACAAAGCTAGAATGGCCCAGAGCCTCACTGCGATCGAAGCTACCGGACCTCGGGGCTCTTCTGCTCGACGCCGTCATTTCACATCCGCGCCGCCAGCCATGGCGGATGCTTCTGCTAGTGGAAACGCCACTCTGTCTGTTCTTGGGTGCTCCTGGGGGGTGGTCTGCGTCGCGACGGGCCAAAGTAAACATGACCGACGCAGCCAGAAAGAACGTTGTCGGTGCCAGTAAACAAAAGCGGCGGAGCAGGGACAACCACGCAAAGGATAGGTTCCAGACTTAATAGCGACAGCGACCTATATCAGAAGAGAGATGAGAGACGAGCGCTTGGCGGAGGACATGATGCGTAATAAAAAACAACAGCGCACATCGGTGCCTGGCACAACATATGCCGTGTGCCAGTCAGCCATCTAAGCAGCTAGGCCAATGCGTGCGTGCCTGTTGCTTTTTTTGTCGAATCCCAATTGTGGCTGGCGATACCCCTCGTTTCTTCTTCCCGAAGCCCCCGGGCGGGATGATGGGTGATCCCCCTCCCTTCCCACACACTATGTCTTTGGCCTTCATTTTTCCCATGTTTTACCTCGCGCTTGTGGCTTCGTCCTCATCCAACCTAGGCGGCGCGGCCAATCATCCCTCACAGCCCTGCTGTCAGCTCTCGCCATCTTGTCGCCATCTCATGCCACAAACAGAGACCATGCCATTGTCACGCAATTGCGTCTACACAGACTGTCCTTCCCAACAGGGACTCGAGAGCCACGATGAAGGCGGATCCGGGCACGGCATCGAGGCGACCTCGAACCAGCATGGGTCAATTGGAGAGTCGGACTTGAATACCGCAGGCTGTACGACATCATCCGGCCTCTCATGCGCTCCCCCTGCCGGGTCCCGCAGGCACACAAGGAATGACGAGGTCAGAGAGCACATAGCCGTCGCATCGTCCGCCCGTCGTCCAATTCTCTGAGTGGCTCTGTGCACACTGGCAGAAGCATCACGTACAGAGGCAGCGGCAGCTGCATCACTGAATGGGACGACAGAGCCCTGCATCCTCGTTCTCTTGTCGTGTCGTCTCGTCCCCGTCTCGTTCGCGTACACATGCCACCCAAACTATGCGCTCCGGTACATTGGATGCACGCGCAGAGCACACGGCAGAGCGTCAGCGACCCATCACAGATCCCGAACCATCTCGTCACCGGGCCTTAGTCCCCTGCCGCCGCGGGCTCCAGTCCTGGCCAGGATCCCAGACCACACACACCAGGCCCGGGCTTTTGTCCAGCGTCCCAGGAGCACACGCCCCCCGACACGGACAAGGGTATCTGCCAGTGTTTCGTTCCGAACGCCCCACCACGGCTTCCCCCAAGTATCCTTGTCGTCGCCGTCGCTCCTCCACTCGCTTCTCACTGCCCCTTGATCTTTTGGGCTGGCACCTGGGAAGGACGAGAGACAGAGGGAAAAAAAAAAAAAGAGGAGAGTCCACCGGCTGGCTGAGGCGTGTGCGTAAGGTACGAATAAACTCGCTCGGTCTGCCGTTTGCCCACGCGATGCTGAACCTCTAGTCCTAGTCCTTCCCCTCCACCCCGACAGGGAATGCCATCAAACCCCCCAACCCAGGCATCGCACCGCACCGCACACACAAAAACGCGTCCACGACCGCCTGCCATACTTTATCCGTTTGGCTCCCATGTTTTGTTCTTCGTCCCCTCCTCCACTTACACCTACACCTCTTCCCTCAACCCCCTTTTGTTCGTTTTCACCAACTATTATTCTCTCGTTCAACATCACCTTCCAACATTCGCTCCCGACAACCTGGCTCGCCAACGGCCCATTCTCGCGGCCTAGACTCCAAGTATCCCAGCTCCCCGTTCCAGTTCAGAGCCTCGCCGTCTATTGCTCGGCGTCCCATTCGTCTCATTCAACGACAATCCCCCGGTCTTTACTCGTCCTGTTGAGAGTTTCTGCGCGGAGCTCTCTTGCGGATCGAACCTTCGACAGTGCTCATGTACACGGCTGGTCAACCGCGTCTCGAATACATCCGTTCTTCCCATAAACGCCTTGCTAGGACCGCCTCGTCGGCTCGCCACTTACACCCGCTGTCATCTCGTGGCCGTCTCGCCTGCCTGGGGCCCAGTCCTCATCAATTCAAGTAGCCGACGCAGTCTGCCTCTCCAAAAAGGCAACTCGCGTACGTATCAAGTCGCCGGCCGGTCTGTGATCTCCTCGACGGTCACGGTTCGGACGGGTCTTGTAGTGTTTGGGTTCATCCATCGTTGCGAAGCACTCAGATCCCCGACCCACCGGTCTCCGGCAGACCAATAAACGACACCGTCTCTGCCTTTCCGCCCGAATAGCTGCGTTTGCCACGAGGCAGACCCGGCTCCCGCATCCACTTCGATCGTCTTCGGTTCCTAGGCTTTGACAGCCACCTCACCATGGGTTTGCCTCGAGCTCTTCCCGTTGCGTCCGGCGCACTGGCGCTGATCGCCACCATCACCATTGTCGTCATCCACGTTGTGCTCGCCGCTCACATCGCCCAAGTTTCACCTGTTCGGACATCGTCGATGCTGTCCTCGATTTTGGAGAGCATCCTTTTGGTTGTTATGGGATGGATGCTGTCGTCGAATCTGGTTCCCAAGTTCCGGAACTGTTCAAAGCGCTTCATCAGCGTCATGTTCGGCGCCAGCGTGCTGACGTGCACCCTGGCCACTGCTGCGTCGGTAGCCACCATGATCTGCCTCAGCAACGCCACGAGGGATCTGGCGGATTCCGTCCTGGGTGCAAAGCAGATGAGCTTTCTCATCGCTTCGTCTATCGCCCTCGGCCTCTGCTTTGCGTGTCAGCTTATCTTCATCGTCATTCACTTCGTTCTGGCTCGTCTTTTCGCCCGCGAAGAGACGGGCTCCCTCCACACGGACGAGGAGTCCCGCAGGTCTCCCAACGTCCACATCAAGTCGGTTCCTTACCACCGTACTTCCCCGACGTTCGACACCAGGAGTCGATCCACCTCCTTGGGCTCGCAAACCCCGCCGCAGTCGAGCAGTGGCCGCTCTGCGACCGAGACGCTGAGCTCCATCCGCTCCTCGCTGTCCAACGTCGTCCGACCCATCTCCTCGAGAACCCGCCTGCTTCCGCTGAGGGAGAAGATGCGGGCGCCGTCGATCGACTCGAACCACTACCGGTCACGGTCCAGCAGTGTCAATGAGGACTCTTCGTTCGATTCCTGGGACACCTCGTCGGTCGACTTGCAAAGCCGCATGACGGTCCTCGGCACGTCGTCTCCTGTCCCCGGCAGGTTCCTCGAGACGATTCCTGCCAGTCCCACCACTAGCCGCAGTCCCAGTCCCGGCATGCCGCTGGACATGGACTTGGAGGCTCCGCGCACTCGTCGGCGTAGCCGTAGCTACAGTCCCGGCCCCAAGGGTAGTCTCCGAAACCCCGAGCCTACCTTTACGTTGCAGGCTTCTGCCAGCGAGTGTTCTCTCCGACGCCCCGAGCCCGCATTCACCATGCAGGGCTCCGCGAGTGAGTCGCACATTCACCCCTTGTTCCGGTCCGACTCCCCGGACCCGCCTCCTATGGTGACGCCCGGCACGGTCGTTACGGCGGCTCCCGACGCCGGTCGCGTCATTTCGGACCGGCAGAGCGTCCGCCGCATGAGAAGCGGCAGCCTGCCTTCGGGCCCTAGCCCTCTCAACCACTCCAGTAGTTACGACAACTTCTTCCCCAACAATCAGCCGTCTGTCAAGGAGAAGGACGAGCTCCCGACGCCTCAAGAGGAAGATGAGGCTCCTGGCGAAAGACAGATGACGCCTCCCATCCCCGAGTGGATTCTGACCGCCGGGTCCCGGACGAGCCTGACTGGATATCAAAGTCGGAAGCTTCGCGTCGATGGGGACGTTGAGCAGGGGCAATCATGATGATGACGGCGAACAGCATTGCCAACAGCTAAAGAAGGCATGCTTACGCCTTGGAAACCAAAAAGGAAGACGAGAAAAACTGACCGGGCGAGGTCCTCATGAATGTCTAATTGCTATTTTTCTCGGACGACAACAAGGTAGTATATACTCGGGCGGAGATACCATATTTGAGGGATTCATTTTCTTTGTAAAGCGTGGCGTTGTCTTGAAGGCAGAGAGAGGGCAAAGATCCCAAGCCTGGCGGCCGAGAGGTCGCCGGAAACTTAGAATAGCTCCAGTAGCTACAAATTAACGAGTCACATGAATCTGTTCTGAGAGAATAATGCCTGTGCGATATGAGCAGTAACACCAGAGTGGATGAAGTAGCAGTCCGGGGCCCGAATGCTTAATTCGAGCCGTCCCCTGGAGGCAAGAAAGAATGGTGGAATTCGGCCCCGTTGCGTCGATGCCGGATCGACCGGTGGGATGAGCAGCCTTAGGCGGCATCCGAGCTTCGGGTTTTGGATGATCCTTCTCCGTAGCGTTCGTTCCCGTATGGTGTTGCCGTTGCGGATCTCTAGGCAACCCGGTCGGGTCGGGCACGGGCACATTCTTACCTCAGCGACAGGTCTGGTTCCAGCTGCAGCTTAGGCGTTCCTGCAAGTGTCCAGCGAGGTCTCTAGTGGCCTGTCTGGGAAGCAGGGCTGGCCAGGGTGTGGCTTGTGATATCATGCAAATTGTATGCGTTGTCGTGGAAGCCTAACAGTGTCTTTGTACCTACAACCCTTCAACGGCAGCGTTCATCAGGCGTGCGTTTACAAAGCTGGCAGGTACAACACCCCGCTTTCTGTGGCCGCCACAAAATTTTTGCATGATGCCCTGCACGTGGCTGGATGGACGAACGAAACGAGCATAAGTCATGGCAAAGAGCCCTGAACTACCTATGGTTTCCTCCACTTGGCCCAGCGATTGCAGCACTGTTGTCCAGACTCGCTGCCTCGCCTCACCTCGTCTGAGCGACTGGGAAGGACCTCTTGCACCGCCACTTTCCTCAAGGAAAAGAGAGTTTGGCTAGGAAAGCGCCACCCGACCGCTGCGCTAGCCAGTTACCGGTGCTCTTTCTTGCTTGGTTGTTGTGACTTGACCTCTCATTTTTAGTGGAGAAGCGGGCGGAAAGAGGTGAACCAGCACCACCTTAAGAAAGGAAGTGGAAGGAGGTACCTCAGCCAACCAACTGGAACCGCCTGCGTCGCCGCCTTCCCCCACTGCGCGGCAACCAAACACTGACTTCAGGTCACCACTTACCTTCGTCATCTCCATTAATTCTGTACCAGTCTTTCCCGCGCACAACAAAACCACTGGGTGACGGATTTCTCATCTTTCACCCACAGCTCCCTGCGCATTACCTTCCAGCGCTCTACTCCGCCATCACAGTCATCCCCATCCTTTTGTCCAACCTCACCAATACCTCAACCTCTTCCCTTGTGATCGCAGCCCTCCGCTGCACCAAAGCTAGCCAAGATGAAGGTCACATTCAAGGTATGCTCAGCTCAGCTCCCTCTCACCCAAAGGCGACGGCCGTTTCGTATTGCGCCTCTCTCCGTCCACGCCGCTAAACCTGAGCTCCCGCTGATGATATTTTCCCTCTTCCTTAGGACTTGAAGCAACAAAAGTTCACGCTCGATGTTGAGCCCACCGACCTTGTGCGTCCCCACCCACATCCGCCTCCGCCTCCGAGCTCGTCCACGGCTGCCTTGCGATAACCCGGCCTCGAAGCTAACGAGATACATAGGTCTCTGCCGTCAAGCAGAAGATTGCCGGAGAGAAGGGATGGGATCCCAAGGATCAAAAGCTTATCTACTCTGGTAGGTCCTTTTAACTGGGGGATCGCGATGGCTCAAGCTGACAGAAACCAGGCAAGATCCTGAAGGACGACGACACTGTCGAGTCCTACAAGATCGAAGAGAAGGGCTTCGTCGTATGCATGGTCAACAAGGTCCGTAGCACGACGACTCCATCCCGACTTGCTTGAGTACTGATGACTTGACAGCCCAAGGCACCCAAGCCCGCCCCCGCCGCTGAGTCCTCCGCGCCCGCCGTCCCCGCGACGCCCGCTCAGCCGGTCGCCGCGACCCCGGCCGCCCCTCCCGCTCCGGCCGCCCATGCTGCCGCCCCCGCCGCTGCTCCCGCCACGCCTACCCCCGCTGCCAGGACCGCGGGCGGCGATGCCGGAAACACTGACCCGTCGATGGCCATGGGCGCCCAGCGCCAGGAGGTGATTGCGAACATGGAGGCCATGGGTTTCGAGCGCGCTCAGATTGACGCCGCTATGCGTGCCGCCTTCTATAACCCCGACAGAGCCGTCGAGTACCTGCTTAACGTAAGCTGCCACGGTCTAGTAGTGGACGTCCGTGACTGACATCCTTGCAGGGCATCCCCGACAACGTCCAGGAAGAGCAGCAGCAGCGACAGGCTGCCGCCGCCGCCCAGCCTGCCCAGCCCCCCGCTGGTGCGCCCGCCGCCGGCACCGACGACGACGGAAACGTCAACCTCTTCGACCTTGCTGCCCAGGCTCGTGGTGGTAGCGGCGGTGGACGTGGCGCCGCGGCCGGTGGCAACACTCAGGCTGCCGCCGCCGCCGCCGCCGCCGCGGCTGCTGCTCAGGGCGGTTTCGGCAACCTGGACTTCCTCAGAAATAACGCTCAGTTCCAGCAGCTGCGCCAGGTCGTCCAGCAACAGCCCCAGATGCTGGAACCCATTCTTCAGCAACTCGGCGCTGGTAACCCCCAGCTCGCTCAGCTGATCGCCAACAACCCCGACCAGTTCCTGCAGCTCCTTGGCGAGGAGGTTGACGATGACGTTCCTCTGCCCCCCGGCGCCCAGGCCATCCAGGTTACCGAGGAGGAGCGCGACGCCATTGAGCGGGTGAGTTATTCCGCGGCCTTGACTTGATGCAGGAGTACTAACAGCTACTCAGTTATGCCGTCTTGGCTTCGACCGAGACGCTGCCATCCAGGCCTACTTTGCCTGCGACAAGAACGAGGAGCTTGCGGCAAACTTCTTGTTCGACCAGCCCGACGACGACGACGCGCCCCAGAACTAAGCCGACCCACTACGACCGCATGATTACACATTCTACGACAGATACGCAAGGCTCAGGGATTACCGAACGGTGTTGGCTTGGTAACAATGACTCAAGGGAGACTTTAGGATACCTAGTCCAGACGACAGGGTCCGCATCAACAGGGGCACGAGGCCGTCGTCCTCGTTATTCGTGGAGGTAGATTCTTTTCCAAAGAGCTGGCGTGGAGGAAGGTAGGCTGAGGACGATATGCGGGGTTTGACTTGCACACATATGGAGGTCGCATGTCACGCGCAGTTGCAATGCACATGCTTGTCTGTTGGCCAGGAGTGCTCCTGTTCTGGCTTGGAAAAGAGCGCGGCGTCAACCCTAGGTAGCCAGGCCAGGTAGTACCGGGTAATTCAACTTTTCAGTGCCATTCCCCGTTGCAGTGTTCCATGGATGAGTGGCAGCTTAGCAGTCCTTACAAGCCACGGCCGAGGCAAAATTGATTTGGCCTCGATCGTTTGGCCTCAGTGGCGTTGCTGCCTACGATTTGGCCTCACTTCAAACAGGTATATGGTTCGAACGCTTCCTCCTGTTCCCTTGGTCGTTTTTCCTTCTCCTCTTCATACTTACCTGCTTGACGGCCCGGAGATCAAGAGCCCCGGGGCCGTGGAGGAGGGGGACCTGCATTGCACACTCCGCGGCCGTGCCCCTCGCCGTATGGGTGCCCTGTTGGGAACCGTACAAGGTCTAATTTTTGATGTCGTCTTTCTTGCAAAGTCTTTTTTCGTTGTGCTTGTCGCCTGGTGCGGTGGTACGAGGAAGAAGGAGCGCGTAGGTATTTGTTTGGAGGATCTGTGACCCGACACTTTTGGTGTTTGTGGGGGGGGGGGGGGGGCGCTTTGTAGAGAGCATCAGGTAGAGCGCAGGTGGGGAGGGAGGGGGAGGGACGCTGGTAGAACATCACACAAACATGTACCAATAGACACGCAGCCTGAAGATTGTCTCAAAAACGATTTGGGGGGGGGGGGGGTTCCGCGCCCGTGAGCCCAGGCGTCCCCCGCCGTGTCTGGTCTGATTCCCTAAACCCTCGCTGCCAAATAGCAATACCAAACGCCGCCTGGATGCAAAAATAGGTGCCCCGCCAAGACCGTGTTTTTTCTCCTCGTGAAAAAGCAAAGGGTATCTGTCTCTGGTAGCCCCGTCCCCGTTTCCCGCTGCCTTGCCTCCGTAGTCCGTCTGTCCCGGCCGGCTCTCATCGGCCCGACGCAACACCCCCTTTCATCGGTTGATAATCTCGCCGCGCATGTTGTACTCGACGGCCTTCTTCTTGGCCTTGCCCGCGCCCCTCTTCTTGCCCCGCCCGGCGTCCGGGTCCATGTCGGTCTCGTCAATGGTGATCATGCCGTCGGCGTCGACCGTTATTTGAGGACCGACGTTGGCCTGCTGCTTCGGCTTGGATTTGCCGCTGCTGCCGGCCCCACCACCACCACCCGCCGCCGACGACTCCTCTGTCGGCCCGCCTTCGCCCTTGTCCTGCAGAGAGGCGTAGTTCCTGGCGTTGATGGCGTCCTTGGCCGCCTTGATCTTGGCCTGCTCGGCGTCGAACTCGGCCTGCTGCGCGCGCTGCGCCGCCATAATGGCCTCGACGGGCTCGTACTCGGCCTTAGTCCACGTCTTGTACTCCTCGAGGTCGATCTGGAGCTCCTTCTTGCCGACGAGGATGGCGTCGATGCGCGCCGGCGCGTGGCGCTCCTCGCGGTTGAACTTCATCTTGACGTGCCGCCGGTTCTTGCCGGGGAACATGCCGCTGATCATCTGGAAGTCGGTGCCGAACATGCGCAGCCCACGGTAGAAGAGCTCCGTCTCCTCCTCAGTCCACACGTTGGGCCCCTTGAGCTTCGAGCCCGTGCGGTAGCTGTTCTGCGTCGTGAGCGTGGTAAAGTCGTTCTCCTCGATCTCGAGCATGTCCTCGCCCTCGGCGGCCGCGGCGGCGATGGCGTGCCTGTCGAGGCTCAAGGAGTTCTGGTCCACCACGATCTGGCCGTCGATGATCTGGAACTGGGGCCCTGTCGAGGCCATACTGGTCGGCTTCGGTGGGGCAAGAGGCGCAGGTGTCGCCTGCCCGCTCGACGTGGGCGCTGGCGTCCCGCTCTCAGAAGCAACGTCCTCCGAGCCATTCCTCTTGGCCTTGAGCCTTTCCCTAGCCTTCGCTTGCTTCTCGCGGTGGCGCTGCAGGAGCTCATCGTGTCGGCTGAACTTCTTGCCGATACGGAGGTCCCTCGTCAGATCTCCCATCGTGAGGGTGCTGAGGTCGGCCTCCTGGTTCTCAGCGTCCTCCGGGGTCACCGACCGGGCTCGTCGGGGTCTCGTCGACGTCTTTGTGGTGTCTGTCTCAGTCGCGGCGCCGTCCTCTGGCGTCTTCTTCTTCCTCGGTCGAGGCGGACGTTTTGGGGCTGCCTCGCCATCCGTAGTAACCTCCTTCTGTTTCCGCGGCCGTTTGGGCTTCGGGGTCGCGGTGCCGTCCTCGGCTGTTTCAGCATTCTCAGCCGTCTGAGGGGCTCGTTTTCGGGGTCGCTTGGCGGATGCTTTTGTAATTGCGTTCGGTGCATCACTCGCTGCGCTCACCGGCTCGGGCCCAATGTCGGCCTGGGTTTCTGTCGTAGGCACCACGTCGGTTGTGGAGGGGGCAGTGGCGGGCGGTGTTTGTAGCTGAACAGGCGTCGACGTCTCGAGCACATTGGCTGGGTCAACTGCCGAACCAGCTGTAATTGCCGGCTGTTGGGCACTCTGCGTAGAGGTAGTCGGCACCTGTGCTGTTGGCTGGCTGGTGGGAAAATCGAAGGCTCTCTTTTCGTTGGTCTTGTCTAATGTCGGAGCAGGGCCAACATGCCCGTCCGCTGGCGGTTGTATTTGGGGCACACCAGCCCGTGTTATGTTCGGCTCGGTCGATGGCGGGGTATTGGTAGGCTGATCTCCATGAGGCTCCTTCGCTCCAACGTTGGTCCCGACGGTCTCCTGCACTGTTTTATCCTTGGAGACGGCGGGAGTCTCTGTCGCGGCCGCGGGTTCGGGCGCAACCGACGACGGCGCCTTCGATGGGTGAGGTGCGGCAGCCCCAGGCGCTCGAGGACGAGCCTGGGGCATTTTTGGCTTGAAAGCCATGCCGCCCTTTTTCTTGAACATGGAGCTCATGATGACGGTGGTATCGAGTGTGTTCTAGTACCGTCGTTGACAGAGCCTCATGGCCGGAGTAGAGGCGTACGGGGTGGTCGAGTAGTCGGAGATGGCTTGTTACTTGCGAACCAGACTTTTGTCAATCGCGGCGGGATGGTGAACTGGGTGGGATGCAGAGAAAAAGTGATAAGTAATTGAGGGACCCCGACGATTAACCGGACCGTGCACTTTGCGCGGGGCGCCTGACTGGTCGATAAGGCGACGAAGCCCCATTTGGACTAGCGTCCCGCTAGTCCCTTTTGAGGGGTGGACCGGCCTGGCTTGATTTGAACGTGAAGCGTCGGCGTTCAACCTCGAAAATTCAACCTCCTTTGCCCAAGGCTTCCTTCCCCATTCTCCGCGCCGAATCAGACTAGCCCGACACTCCCAACACACGCATGGCTCGGATCAACCTCTGAATACCCTCAGCTATCCCATCCAGCCGCTTTCATCGCCTCGCCGACCCGGATGCATACGCTGTCCCGGCATCCCTACCTTTCTCATGCCTGTAGCGACTTCAGCCCCGACTGCCTCCCCCCGTCCGTCCACCTTATCCAAGATGGAGGACAGGAAGAGACCTCCCATCAGCACCGCTGAGGATCTCGCTCCTCCCAGCAAGCGACATCAAACCGTCAATGGAAGCAAGTCCAAGGGCGACGGTGGCGACACCGCCGAGGAGCACTGGATCGAGGTAAGTGTCACGAGACACGGTTTCCCAACACGTCAAGTTTTCTCAACAATCAATGGACCCCCACGCGATTCCCATCTGCCATCAATGGCGACGCGACATCACGACCATCGAATGCCCAAAGCCACGTCCAACACTGGCGGGTCGCGGTCGACTGGCCTGGAATGGCCTTTCGATCCGCCGACGAGGCTGCCTAACGGCACTGCGTCTCCCTGCCCTCCACGCATCCGATCTTCCTCCACGCTTTCATCCTTGAACACGATCGCCTGGCGCGAAATATATGGAAGGGACGCGAGCTGATGATGAGTTCAGAATTATCAAAAGGGCGCCATTTACCGGCAATTGCAAGAAACAAAAAGGGAAAAGGCCGACTTTGAGTCGCGCGTCGAACAACTGCAGAAAAACCTCGTATACCGCGAAGACCATATCCGCATCATCGAAGCCTGGTGGAAACAGGTCAGTTTGACTGCTCCCTTGTCTCGGTGCTTGGCTGACTCTCACTAGGTTCTGGAGGAGATGGAGCAGCTCGTGGATCCGGCTCTACCGCCTCCTTCGGGTCCATCAAGTAAATGCCCCCCCCGTCCGATTGAATCCGGATCGAAACTGACGCACCCAGATCCTCCGTATATCACTAGCACCCACTTTAAAGACAACGACGAATTCCAACGGCATCTGGATGACACCGCCTCTGACATCAAGAAGCGGGCTGAGGCCGTGCTCAATCGCATTGCAAGTGCCAGGGGAGAGATAACCCCAAACATTGCCGACCTGGAGACCCGGGTCAACACCTTACTCGCTCAACAAAAAGACTATCTGGTCAAGCTGGACCGTGCACATCAAGAGAATGAGCAGTTGTCGGAAGACCTGAACAAGGCTAGCCTCAGATTCTTCAAAGCCGAAAAGCGCATGGACAGACTAAAGAGCGCACAAGTACAAAAGCTCGAGCAACAATTCATCGCCAGTGCCAAGCCGACAATTGCCGGCGGAGAGAACGGAAGCGATGCAGCAGAAGCAAACGGAAACGCCGCCGAGGCGCTGATCAAGTTCGAGGAGGCATCGGCGGTCGTCAAGAAGCAAAAGGAGCAATTGGAGTCTGCGCAGGCAGACATCAAGACCCTGCAGGAGGAGAACTCGGCGCTCAAGGCGCGACGGGAGGGTCTAACCGACGAAGATTTCATCCGGACGGACGTGTTCAAGCAGTTCAAGAACCAGAACGAGGACCTGATCAAGCGGGTCAACCACTTGGAGGCTACGAACAAGCAGTTGAGAGAGGAAGCCGAGAGGCTACAGTCTGAGCGGACGGCGTTTCGAAGCAAGCTCAACGATGAGGCGCAAATGATTACTTCGGACTTGGAGCGCCAGGTCGAGGAGCGCGACGCCGACCTGACTCGGATCCGCGCAGCCCGGGACGAGTGGTATGCCAAGGCCAACATGCTAGAAACGCGGGAGAAGGAGGAGAAGCAGGCGCTGCAGCATCTCAAGGAGCTAACGGGCGCCCAGGAGGACCGAATCGCTTCCTTGGAGCTGGAGCTGCAGCGGCTCAAGCCCGCCGAGGACCAGCAAATGCCCGATCCGGACCCCGAATTGGAGAGCTTGCCCGTGGACGAGCTGGTCTCGAAGTACAAGAAACTTCAGCAAGATTTTGAGTCCATTAACAAGGAGCTGCCTGCCCTGCAGCAAGCGTACAAGCGATCTATGGGTCTGGCGCAGAAGAAGGTCATGGAGTACGCGGTGCTTGAGGACCGCGCCTCGGCCGCCCTCGCCGAAAAGCAAAAGGTCGACCAGAAGTACTTCGCAGTGAAGAAGGATGCGGACATGAGAGACCGCGAGCTCAGTGTGCTCCGGAGCCAGAACCGCAAGAGCTCCGAGATCGTGACCCAGCTCAAGGAGGTCGAGGCCCAAAACCGAGTTCTGATCAGCAACCTCGAGAAGCAGCTGTCGGATCTGAAGCAGGCCAACGCGGCCATGGCGGCGGAACACAAGAAGATGGAGTCCACCAGCTCCGATGCGGCGCGCCGTGTCGATTCATACAAGAACCAGATCGGTGAGCTCACCAACCTGGTCAAGTCGCGCGACGCGGCCGTTGCTGCGGCACGAGAACGCACCACCACCCAAGAGGCCGAGGTCGAGCGTCTCAAGGTGCGAGCGGACATGATGCAGAAGGACAAGGATGAGTGGAAGCGCAAGGCGTTGAGCAACTCGTCCGAAGAAGAGGAAATGCTCAGAGTAAGTCAATGTGCCCCGCACTGGTTGAGCAGATGGCTAACAGCAATCCTAGACCTTTGCACTTTGCACGGTATGCCGCAACAACTTCAAGGATACGGCCCTGAAGACGTGCGGCCACCTGTTTTGTCACCAGTGCGTGGACGACCGTATCAGCAATCGCATGCGCAAGTGCCCCAACTGCTCGAGGGCGTTTGACCGGTTGGACGTTATGTCTGTTCACCACTAGCCTCTGGCATGAGGTTTTGCTTCGCTTAAATTACTCGGCCCGTTTTAAGGGTCACAAAGAACCGCTGTTTTGATATGCATCACAGATGTTTGCGCAGTTTGGAGTTTGCTTTCGCAGCAGGGGATTTCATGGTATGATACCTTGGGGGTTTGCCCAGAAGACGCTCGCAATTGGAAATGATGGATTGTTGTACTTTTACTGGTATGGAAGACGGCTTGGACTTCGGGAATGTACATAATGTCATGTCGCCCGATAAAGGGGGCTGACCACACCATAGCTGGAGGATGGCGGCGAGAGCGGTGTACGAGAGCGGGGAGTACAGGATAGACCCAGAGTCGAGCTGGCTCAACACGTTCAGATTACTATATGCCTACTTCAAGACAAATGCCTCCCTATCTCCGATTGGTGGATCCGAAACCGGTGCTTTCGTGACGCGCCGAGCTTGACGATGAACTGGTCGACCTCGACGGACCGGCCCCCCATGAGCTTGAGCTGCTGTCGTTGCCCCAGCCGCCGGTGCCATACCCTTGCTGGTTCCTCGCGCTGTTCCTGCCTTGGAAGTAGCCGGCCCCGTAACCTGCAGCGCCGCCAGCTCCTGCGCCGGTCCAAAACCCGGGGCGCCATCCTTGCTGCCCGCCTTGGTTGGAGGGCTTCGTGCCCGGGTACGGCGGGGGAGGGTCGTCGTCTTGGCCGAAGCCGGGGTCCCATCCGCCTCCGCCACCTCCTCCAGGACCACCACCGCCACCTCCTCCGCGGCGGCGCCCATTCCCGCCAGGTCTCCGATTCTGCGTCCCGGCCACACACGCCGAGTACACAATCCAAGCTAGAACGGCAAAGAAGATAATCCCAAAGAGATACGCGCCCCAATCTGACTCGCCATCCCCCTTGCTCCCGCGGTCGTGACCCTTGCCCAGGTTCGGGTAGCGCCGCTCGCCCTTGTCGGTCAGAGCGAGTCGATACTCGACGCCGCAGCTCCCGCGGAGAATGTACGGGTCGTCGGAGTTGGCGTAGCCCTCGCAAATGACGTCTGTGGACCCGAGCTTGAGCTCCTCGGGCAGCGACGCAACACAGGACCACTGAATGTCCTCGGAGGAGTAGCCGGCGCCCTGGTTCGTACACCGCATGACGTCGATTTCGTGCAAGTTACATATGGCCTTGGAGGAGACACATTTGAGCTGCGGCGCGGCTGCCACGCGACGGTGGGTCGTCTTTGCACCCCCGCCGCGAAGGGTGAGGGACTGGACGTCCGAGAGGAGGATTGCGTTCTTGGGCGCCTTCGCGGCCGATGCCAGGCCTGTCAAGAAGGGGGCTATTCCCAGGCTCATGGTGAGCGAGAGGTGCATGGTGCCGGCGTTTAGTTGTTTTCCGATGTGTTTCCTCCTGCGACGCTGTGTCGCTTTCGGGATATGATAAGTCCCGCGGGGCCAGGCTTGCCTGGAGACGTAAGGAAGGTGTTCCGCGTCAGAGCATGAGAGTTTCAAGCCTAGCACCCTGTTTTAGGGGCGAAGAAAAAATTTATGCCGAGGAAAACGTAACGTGTCTTTCAAAAATAAGGCAGAAAGGTCAGAGGACAGATTAAAAGGTTACTTGGTTGCCTGATCGAGTGAATTATACGTGTCGAGGAGGGGGGAGGCTGGAGTCGTGCTGGTGATGCGGGATTGGTTCTTGGTTAAGAGGTGGCGCAGCGTGGCGAGTGGAACGAGCCACCTGTTCTCTGTGGCGCTCACCATTGCTGCTTATCTAAGCAAGACCAACGTTGAAGCTTCCATCCTGAATAGAATAGAAGGCAAGGAAGGCTTGGCAGGTGCCCATATGGCGGGTCGCCAAGGCGGGTGCACTTTATCTGCGGTCAGTCGCACTTGCCTGTTTTCAGGCAAAGCGTGCGTCATTGTGTCCGGGGTTTGGCAGTAGTGTTCCGTTCTTATGAAGGTCAATACTCCTCAAACAACAGCGATGTCCTGGTGCTGTCCGCTGCACGACCTTCAACAACCAAAGCTTGCATAACAACCGCCAGATTCTTGTTTGAATTCAAAAGCTGTTTCAAATACCTACACAAGTAGGTCTAAGCGGTCATTGGCAAAATCCAGCCGGTAAGACACGCCTTATATGTCCCTGACTTCGCACCGCAGCGTTCGGGTGGTGTCTGCTTTCTCCGTGAAGCAGCAGCAACTGCCTAGTCGATCAATACGAAGTCTATCAGGCGAGGCCCAAAGTATAGGATAAGCCCCTGCTTCAATTTGCTTTTCTCTAATTTGGTCGACACCGACGATGAGCACTAAGGGTTGTAGTTCACAGAATCTGCTCTTGGAGACTGTTTTAATTGCGCTACCCACAATCCCCACAAGCTGGCATGTCATGAAACAGGTGTACTGACCCGACTCGCTTTCGGTTTGCTTTCGTAGGGATCGCAACGGTTCAACCCGTCTTTTGTTGTTCCCTCTCTTCAATGTGGGTGCATTCACGTCAGCCACGGCGATCGCCGTCAGCAATTCTCGATAGTGCGATGCATCTACACAATCTCCATGACAACGATTTAGGCATTCGATTGAGGGGTGGGGTGTCTATTGCGAAATGTTGCCTCGAGGAAGAATCGGAAGAATCGGATAATGCAAACCTTGCTTTTATCAGGTATCTCTTTGCTCATGCACTGCAGCTGCATGCGGGGGAGATCGTGCACTGAGCTCTCTTGCCTAATCGGGAGTCTGAAACTTATTATTTGGCTCGTGTAACTCATAGTGAGCCAGATCCGACTCTGGCGATACAATCTTTGGATGGCGCTGGAACTGATGTCGGCAACGAGACAGCGGCTTGTCTGCCACTGGTTGGCTCCACGCGATATCGGTTCCAAGCCAGTGCACAATCTTGCAACCTTTGAATCGAAGAGTTCATTTAAGCTTTCCAGGTTTCTCGTCTGGCAAGCGGGGTATCGACTTTTCGGCATATAAATGACATGACTAGGCTGGGAGCCACAGCCTAAAGGGTTCTTTTCATCGCTGATTGCGCCATGAACAACCTTGAGATGTCTGGCAAGGCGCTCTGGAGCAAACAGGGTAAGGCACGCCGAGCCTTGCTTACCAAAATCTACGAACCGGCTTCACGGCTGCGGAAAGGGTCTCCCGAGTACAACAAACTTGCATCCTCGGGGCGGATATGGGAGGAATATTTCCAGCCCGGCAACAGTCTCGAAAAGGGATATGTAGGGCTCCAGAAGAAGCATAAGCGTTTGCTGGACGATATCGACGTTCTGAAAGCAAAACTTCCGACGGTGGAGCTGGGCAAACCCATGGTTTTCGAATACGCGCAACAGTCCGTCATGATCGAGAACAACCCCCTGACAGTCGGAGATGCGAACCGCATCTTCGAATCGATGCAGAAGAATGTTTTCAGACGCGTTGACCTGGCTTCGACTTCCAGCAGCGAGCTCGTCAGAATTGTCACATCTGAGGCCGAGGGCGAAACTGGCGACGACTCTTCAATCAACGAGCTGAAGATTCACATCATAGCATCGCAGTGGATCGCCGAGAACGCAGCAGGCAAGGTTTGCACCGCGGGGCTCTGCGAAGACGAGGTACGAGACCTCGCCGTCGTGTCTGTCAGAAACACAAAGTCTGAGGCGGCTTACGACATATGGGGAGGAAAAGACCAGACCAAAGACTCTGAAGCCAGCAGCAACCTGGTATGGGGGGCAGGCGTTCCGCTCGGAGGGTACCGAAATCTGCCCATCACGGTTCGCAGCAACCGTCTCCGAATCTTTCCCTACCCACAGGAATTCCCCGCCTGCGTCAAGAGATTCTTCGAGTGGCGCGATACGCAGCATCGCGAGAAGGCACTCCATCCGCTGGTTCTGGCCTGTCAGATGACGGCTTACTTTGTCCACGTTCATCCGTTTCCCGACGGTAATGGGCGTACCAGCCGCATGATCGAGCAGGATTACCTTGCTCGTCAAGGCTACTTACCGGTGGTTATCCGGGGGTTGCAGCGGAAGGACTATTTGCGGATGATCGACAACGCCAGCGAAGGCAAACCAGGCGAGTTTGTAACGGCAGCCCTAGAGGCTCAGCTATCGGCGCTGCAGATATTATACAGGCGTTACCTCCTGACGGACGACTTGTAGTACGATCTGGAGCCAGGGTACGTATGCCACCCTCACCACCGTCGTCACCCATTGATTCGTCCCAGCGGTGCGGTAGCGGGTGGTAAGTTAACCTCCGCCTCCGGTTGGTGACTTGGAGGGATTTTTACGGGCTACGGCATCTCATGGCGTCCCGGGAGACCGAGCTTTGCTGACCGCTTGGGACGAGAAGGGTTAGGTAGGCCAAGGGATGATCCGTATGTGGTAAGCGAATGCGAGCGATTCCGATTAGGTTCCGGGCAGGTCAGACGACAGGCTCCGCCGTTAAAGTGACCCTCGTCGTACAAAGTACTTGTGTTACGCCTGCTCGGTTGGGTCCTAGTTACTCCTATCATGTCAACATGAAGGATGCGACCGACAGGGAACCGCTGGCCTGACGTCTGACCGCGCAGCATGCTTTAGCAGGCTTGGCTGCCATACTGCCTGGGGTTTTCAGAACGCCATATCCGACCTGCCTAGTCATTTGCCTCCTCTGCGGTGCAAGATGCTCCAATCGATGACAGTATCCAACTCGCCCAAGGCTCATCCCTGCTTCGGGCGCTGAGGGAGGCTTACCTATGCAGCAGCCCTCGTAGAATTCTGAGTTGAAGCAACTCATCCAAACCAACTGCCGTTTGAGTTTTGAGACGACGCATTGGCTGTTGGAACGGCAGTAGGCACACCGCTTCCCAGCATCAGTGCCCCTCGGATGGGGCCTAGATCGTCCCGTCCACAGAAGCAGAACGCAAGGCATTGATGTGGAGTTGCTCCTGCCCATCACTAGGAGGCATCACAGTCCAAACTGTTTACCTTTTGGATAGTATTGTACGTACTATGTAGTAAGCACTTGCAAGTAGCTCTATCGCAACGCACCGGCGAATCACATCTTGAGCGAGACGTCGTAATCAGTCGTTTGGCGGAAACGAGCAAGCCGGCACGAAACACCCACGCCGGCGCCTAATGTCGGGGTTTACCCGCCCAGCAAATCTTGCTCTTGGGATCAGCCCCAAGAGGTTATCACCGGGGCTGAATGACCCGGACATAAGCAGGGCAGGCTCCGGCACGAAACACGCACGGTAGGGCCTCACTTCGAGATTTATCCGCCCGGCCAATCTTGCTCTTAGGACCGGGCCTGAGAGGGTATCGCCGGGGCTGAGTGGCCCGCCGGACATAAGCAGGGCAGGCTCCGGCACGGCGGATCTCGCCCGAACACTGCACTGCGTGAAGTCGATCAAGATGGGCATCGCCAACATCATTATCAGGTATACGCAGAGGGGGCAATCACGCCGCAGTAGGAGAGCCACTTAGCACATCTCGCTTGCTGTCAAATCTCTGATGCTGGCCCCTGCCCTGAAGCGCGCTGAAATGTTCTGGAAACCAACACCCTGGAACTTTGGCGAGGAAATGAACGGACCGGAATTCGGGTTGCTAGTGAACCCCGAGGGAGGGGCAAAGGACGCTGGGGGCGTGGTCAAGCGAGGCACGGCGGCGCTAGTGCTCAGCAGTCGCCGGCTGACTCGACCCGGGGGACGGACCCGACCTAGGGACCTTTGGGATGACGGGCCCCCCCCTTACAGTCGGCGAGACAGGACAGGGAAAGAGCGGTACGGGAACTTATTCGTGTCTGATCCAAGAACCGCGTCGGGCTGGCTATCGGATGACCCGAGCATGACGTGCAGAGGGCATCCTGAGTACGGGCTCTCCAAGACTGGTGCACGCTGTGTTCTGTTATGTACTGGTTGATGCGACAATGACAAGACCAAACAACAGCAAACACCCGAGCCACGGTGCAAGCTTTTGAGTTTCCTGCCGTCCAACAAACGAAAGCAAACATTAAAGGATATTAAGAGGGGACGCAGTTACGGTCCGAGTTTCGTCGTACAGCGCTCGCGCAAGCGAGATAAATAGTACACGAGGAATGGATCGCAGTCAGCGTCGGCTACGAGAAAGAAATGGCCCGCAGTGCTAGCATATGCACACTATACCGTGTATGCCTTAGTCAGGTGGTCAGGGTACACGCAAATGTACAGGGTAGCACCTGCGCATCGCAGAGCTTTCCTTCCCCAGAATCGGATCTGGGGCATAAAAGTGCCAATACAGGCAATAAAGAGAGCGCGGCAGCGACCTGCCATTCCGTTGAATCCCGGGCAGTCGTCGCTGGCGAACCCCGGTCCTGCAGGCGTTTTCTGCGATGGCTTATCAGGCAGAAAGAATACGGACAATGCATGTACACTACTACTATGCACAGCAGCAACCCACCCTGGCTGAAGCTGCAATCATTAGTGCGTCGTTGGTTGCGTTTCCGACCATACCTAGTCCCACAAGCTCGCACCTCGCACTTTGGGCTTCTGCGAGTTTTAACAGTCCCCTTTCCATACAACAGTGACAACCACGGTGGAGGTTATACATAGTCCAGCTCCTTGTACATCGCTCCTGGATGACTCTTCGCGGCGTCCCCAACTGCGACAAGCTGCCACAGCGAGCGCCCCGCCCCACGATCGACGCCCGTAGGATGGGCAGAAGTACCTACGGACCACCCTATCCTGCCGCGTCTTCTTGTGTCGAGATGTGTACGTACGTCTGCGGCGCGGGTCGGGCAGGAGCCTAGAAAAGAACCGGGCTAGTGACTGTTCGGGAAGTTGAGAAGAGCGAGGTCAGGACTCACATCGGGTCGGTTGCATTCCGTTGGCTTCTCGTCCCGGTTGGCCATCCATCATCCCTCTCCCGCTCCTGTTCCCAGTCGTCGTGTCGTTTCCAATGCTCGCTCCATCTCCGCCCCTCCTGGTTCGCCCCAGGTCCGGGTCCTAGGCCCCATCTATATCAAAAGTGCCCACCCCAGTCCGTTCGTAGGTCGCCGAGGCCAAGGGACTTTTTTTTTCCACCCCTCTCATCCTCGCAACGACGGATACCACTAATCCCTATCCTGGCCTGCAACCCGAGTGGGAACGCCTCTTCTTCTCGATCCGTCCTCTTTCATTAAAAGTCTCGAGCGAGGGACGCCAGTCGATATCGATTACCGCTACGCTTGTTGCTTCCCACCTTTTGCCTACCCTGATCCTTTCTTTCGTTTGCGCCCGTGGACGATCTCCCTCCGATCGCCTGCAAAAAAGATTTCTTGGCTTTCGCTGTCTTCGGCTTTGCTTCTTCACTGCCTTTCTTTTCCATTGCCCTCTCGAGGACTTGGCAGCTCGAGGAACACCGTCTGTGCAGCAACATTCCATGCGATAAAAACCGCCACTTTCGAGCTCGGCATACCAACTTCAACCGCCAGCAACGACATCCCGCATCCTCGTTATCGAGTCGCTTGCGCTTGAAGATTTCCACTTCCGACCCAGCTTGCGCGTTGCGCATACCTGCGCAACAAGCTCGCCACTTTAGCCACCCCCTTGTGAAGCGCAGCTCTGCTGGGAGACCACCAACATGACGCTTGAAAACGAAAAGCCCTCTGCGGCTACCCAAAAGGCAGAGATGGCCGAGAAGCCTGGCAACGGCCACTCGGACAGGGCGTCGTCGCATGGCGACTCGACCGAGGTGGACGCTTCGAGCCATCCCAAGACCCAGAACGCCGAGATCAGCAACCTCGAAAAGGCCGACTCCAAGGCCATTGCACCCAAGGACCCCAGCGACGACCCCTACGAACACCTCCCCGAAGATGAGGCCGCCATCCTCAAGCGTCAGGTCTTCACCCCTGAGGTCAAAGCGGGCATGGCGACCCTGTACCGCTACTCCTCGACCAACGATATCCTCATCCTCGCAGTGGCTGCCTTCACGTCCATCGTCGTTGGCGCCGCTCTGCCGCTCATGACCGTCATCTTCGGCAACCTGCAGGGCACTTTCCAGAACTACTTCAACGGGGTTATATCCAAACAGGACTTCAACAACGAGATGGCAAGTTTGGTTTTGTATTTTGTCTATCTCGCAATCGGCGTCTTCGTCTGTCAATACCTGAGCACCGTCGGCTTTATCTGTAAGTTTGCGCCCTGGCGGAACCCTGCGAGCCTAAGCATAAATCTGACACGAAACCAGACACGGGAGAGCACATTAGCGCAAAGATCCGTGAGCACTACCTTCAGAGTTGCATGCGCCAAAACATTGGCTTCTTTGACAAGCTGGGCGCCGGCGAGGTGACAACCCGGATCACGGCCGACACCAATCTGATTCAAGACGGCATTTCCGAAAAGGTCGGCCTCACGCTCGCCGCCCTCGCGACCTTCATCTCGGCCTTTGTCATTGGCTTCATCCACTACTGGAAGCTCACCCTCATCCTGCTATCCACCGTCGTTGCGCTGCTCCTGAGCATGGGTGGCGGCTCGACCTTCATTGTCAAGTACAGCAAGCAGTCGATCGAGTCGTACGCCCACGGAGGCAGTCTCGCCGATGAGGTCATCAGCTCTATCCGCAATGCCATCGCCTTCGGAACCCAGGACCGCCTGGCCAAGCAGTACGACGTGCACCTGACCAAGGCTGAACTGTACGGCTATAAGGTTAAGTCGGCCATCGGCGTCATGGTCGCCCTCATGATGACTATCCTGTACCTGAACTATGGCCTCGCCTTCTGGCAGGGAAGCAAGTTCCTCATCGAGGATGGCATTGCCCTATCCAACATTCTCATCATTATGATGTCCATCATGATCGGTGCTTTCAACCTGGGAAACGTCGCCCCCAACGTGCAGGCCTTTACGACCGCCATTGCCGCCGCCGCCAAGATCTACAACACTATCGATCGCGTTTCTCCCCTTGATCCGTCCACCGAGGACGGCATCAAGCTTGACAAGGTCGAGGGCGCGATCCGTCTTGAGAACATCAAGCACATCTACCCGTCCCGCCCCGAGGTCACGGTCATGGAGGATGTGAGCCTGAACATCCCTGCCGGCAAGACCACGGCCTTGGTCGGTGCGTCCGGCTCCGGCAAGAGTACGATCGTGGGTCTCGTCGAGCGCTTCTACGACCCCGTCCGCGGATCTGTGTACCTCGACGGCCACGACATCAGCACCCTGAACCTGCGTTGGCTTCGCCAGCAGATGGCTCTCGTCAGTCAGGAGCCCACGCTCTTCGCCACTACCATTTACCAGAACATCAGGTACGGCCTCATTGGCACCCAGCACGAGAACGCGACCGAGGAAGAGCAGAAGAAATTGATCGAGAACGCCGCGAGGATGGCCAACGCCCATGACTTCATCAGCGGTCTCCCCGAGGGCTACATGACGAATGTCGGCGAGCGTGGTTTCCTCCTCTCCGGTGGTCAGAAGCAACGTATCGCCATCGCCCGGGCCGTCGTGTCCGACCCCAAGAGTAAGTCCGTCCAGTCAAAAGACGACGAATCCTGGCTAACTTCCCAGTTCTCCTTCTCGACGAAGCCACTTCCGCATTGGACACGAAGTCAGAGGGAGTCGTGCAGGCAGCCCTCGAAGTCGCCGCCGAAGGCCGCACCACCATCACCATTGCCCACCGCCTCTCCACCATCAAGGACGCCCACAACATCGTAGTCATGTCCAACGGCCGCATCGTTGAGCAGGGCACCCACAACGAGCTCCTCGCGAAGAACGGCGCCTACTACAACCTCGTCACCGCCCAGAATATCGCCCGCGTCAATGAAATGGACCCCGAGGAGGAGGAAGCCATCGATGCCGAGGACGACGAGCTTATCCGCAAAAAGTCCCGCGTCTCCGAGAAGGGCTTCGTCGCTGACCCCGAAGACGACATCGCGGCCAAGATGCAGCGCACGACTACCACCAAGTCACAGTCGAGCATCGCCCTTCAGAACCGGACGGAAGAGGGCGAGGTCAAGTACAGCCTGTGGACATTGATCAAGCTCATCGCCTCGTTCAACAAGAAGGAGTGGAAGCTCATGCTCATCGGTCTCTTCTTCTCCATCATCTGTGGTGGCGGCAACCCGACCCAGGCCGTCTTCTTTGCCAAGCAGATCATGACCCTATCGATCCCCCTTGACAATGCCTCTGATGCCCTCCGCCACCAGATGAAGAAGGACTCCGACTTCTGGAGCGCCATGTACCTCATGCTCGCCGGCGTGCAGTTCATTGCCTTTGTCGTCCAGGGAGTCGTCTTCGCCAAGTGCTCTGAGAGGCTCATCCACCGTGTCCGTGACCAGGCCTTCCGCACCATGCTGCGCCAGGACGTCGCCTTTTTCGACAAGGACGAGAACACGGCCGGAGCGCTCACGTCGTTCCTATCCACTGAGACGACCCATTTGGCTGGACTCAGCGGTGTCACCCTCGGCACCCTGCTCATGGTGTCGACGACCTTGATCGCGGCCCTCGCTCTCGCCATCGCCATCGGCTGGAAGCTCGCGCTCGTCTGCACCGCGACCATCCCGATCCTCATCGGCTGCGGTTTCTTCCGTTTCTGGATGCTTGCGCACTTCCAGCGTCGGTCCAAGACGGCCTACTCCAACTCGGCGAGTTACGCGTCCGAGGCCATCTCTGCGATCCGCACCGTCGCCTCGCTCACACGCGAGGACGACGTTATCCTCCAGTACCAGAACTCTCTGGCCATCCAACAACGCGCAAGTTTGATCTCCATCCTCAAGTCCAGCTTGCTGTTCGCCGCGTCCCAGTCTTTCATGTTCCTGGCTTTTGCTCTTGGCTTCTGGTACGGTGGTACGCTCATTGCCAATGGCGAGTACAACATGTTCCAGTTTTTCGTGTGCTTCTCGGCCGTTATCTTCGGTGCTCAGTCCGCCGGATCCATCTTCTCGTTCGCCCCGGACATGGGCAAGGCTCACCAGGCTGCCCACGAGCTCAAGGTGCTGTTCGACCGCAAGCCGACCATCGACACCTGGTCCGAACAGGGAGCCAGGCTTGACGCCGTGGACGGCACCCTCGAGTTCCGCGATGTTCATTTCCGGTACCCGACCAGACCCGAGCAGCCCGTCCTCCGTGGACTGGACCTCGTCATCCGCCCGGGACAGTACGTCGCCCTTGTCGGTGCCTCTGGCTGCGGCAAGTCCACGACAATTGCCCTTCTCGAGCGCTTCTACGACCCCCTCTCCGGCGCCATCTTTGTCGACGGCAAGGAGATCAGCACGCTTAACGTTAACGATTACCGTTCCTTCATTGCCCTCGTCAGTCAGGAGCCCACGCTCTACCAGGGTACCATCAGGGAGAACATCATCCTCGGCGCCAACAGCGAGGTCACAGACGAGGCCATTGAGTTCGCCTGCCGCGAGGCCAACATTTACGACTTTATCGTCTCAATGCCCGAGGGCTTCAACACGATTGTGGGTAGCAAGGGCGCCCTGCTGTCTGGTGGACAGAAGCAGCGTATTGCCATCGCCCGTGCCCTCATCCGCGACCCCAAGATCTTGCTGCTGGACGAGGCCACGTCAGCCCTGGACTCCGAGTCGGAGCACGTCGTCCAGGCCGCCCTCGACAAGGCCGCCAAGGGCCGCACGACCATTGCTGTTGCGCATCGTCTCAGCACCATCCAGAAAGCCGACATTATCTACGTCTTCGACCAGGGACGCATCGTCGAGCAGGGCACGCACGCCGAGTTGATGAAGAAGAATGGCCGCTACGCCGAGCTGGTCAACCTGCAGTCGCTGGAGAAGAGCGGCTGAGTATGTGTAAGGAGGGAGGTTAGATTTGCTGCGAAACTGCATCTGCATGTGGAGGTTCTGTTATAATGTCTCCAGAGATATCCGGATCATCACACTGATCCATGTCTATTTTGCATTGTTGGGCGTTTTTTTTTCTTTTTTTCTTATTCATCACGAAGGATGGGTGCGTAGACACGTGACTTAGACTGGCTACTATAAAAAAAGGGTGTCTTCAAGACGAAGGCATGTTGGGTTGCCGTAGCCCTTGGTTTAATGGGCAGGGTTAAGAGTTTGCACTCCCCTCCACCGGTACGAGTTCGCCGTACCCACTCACTTAGAAGTAATTCAACTTTCAAGGCCACTTTACTTTCCCAGTGACGTGATCAGATCAGCCGCCATGAATAGCCGAGACCCAAAACTGGAGATGCCGTTAGACGCGATAACAAGGCATCCGTATATGCAAGTGCCAAGGTCTTTTTCCAATGACTTGCCGCAGCATTGTCTGGACGACCCGCTCGGGACCGGGCGCGTTGATGGTGACACGGAGCCGAGCGGGGCTGCTTGCATCTCATCGGGGCCACGCCCGAGATCTGCGCGGGTACCATCTCGGCGCCTCACGGACCGCGGTCAGGTTTTGCTCGGTTTTCCGTCCTCAAGGGCCGACAGACGAGCCCCTGAGCTTTGTGACCTCCCTGGCTGGAAGTCTAGTCTCCGTCCCAGGGCAAGGGCGCTTTACGAAGGATTATGTATCTCGGCGGGCGGCGGCCGTGTTCCACGCAGCAAGCCGAAGCCAAGCTGTTGACTCTGGGGCTTTTTCGCCCTTGCTCGCTTAGCTGCGATGGAAACGAGATGAGGCGTACGTCAATGGCGATGTCGTATAATTATTACCGCCTCGGCTCACTTGCCCCAACTGGTGTCAGACATGCCTCGCAGCAGGGTGTGGTAGTGAGACTTGTCTTGGGGTCCTCGGAACGAAAACTGACCTTGTGCAATTTGGTCGTCTGTAGAAGCGGCCAACTCGGGTCTGCGGTCCGCCGCCGGCATGTGACGGGGATTTCCAGGCACCGATTGTTTCAGCAACTTCGTGTTCTGAACCGGTGGCATTTGTTTCGAGACGTTCGCTCCCACGATGCCGTCGCCCTTGAAACCAGTCTGAACAAAGTTGAGCTACGTTCTACAGAAGCCCAGTATGTTTCTAGGCCGGGCGAAGAGGGCGGTCGCTGAGCAACGTTGGTCAAATCATGTCGTGTTCGTGCAACATCTATGCGGGTTGGCGGACAGTTGCGAGTGGCTCCCGGATGCGCGCGAGCCGACGAATCGCCTCTGGAAGCCGCTTTGCTCGTCCAGACGCGTAAGCCGCCTTTAGTCGTCGCATAGACGGGCGAGGCAACAAATGGTCTCAAAAGGTGCCCATGCGGAAATGTCGGCACGGAGACGCGACTCTGGGAGGGTTCTGCCAGACACTAGCGCATGTGTGAGAGCGTAGCTGAGTGCCATATCGGTCATGGTGTCAGGAAGAGCTAGCCCTGGGACTCCTCGACGCACACTAGTTGGAATAGGGGCACAACTCAACCGTTGGCCAGTCAAGTCGAGAAAGCCCGCCGGTTGCACAAATTCACGCCTCGGTCGCGTGCGATCGGTGGCGCTGTTGTACAAGACTGCCACACCGGCGAGGACTAGGAGCGGTTTCCAGTGACGGCATGCAAGGAGGCGCAGGTACCCGCCGACTAAGAGAGGCACCGCGAAAGCCAAATCGATAGACCTTGTACCGTCGGGGCACTAGTCCACCACGTCGGGAAACTCAAAGAGAGTCGGGTTGGGAATGCGAGCCAGAGACCGCCAAAATTGCTGCAATCCAATGTCAAGATGGGCCGTTTCTCTCACGGCCGTGTGGTGGTCAGAGACGCGAAGGTGTGAGATGTCACTCCTGACAAGCTGACCGGAGTATGGGCTCGGGGGAAATGAGACACATCGTCGAATGACACCACTTTGGGTGAATTGATAAACTTTCATGAACGATGCTTGGCAGCCAAGAGGGCACCGACCGAGACTTCTCGAAGGCTGAAGGGAGCATCCTTCCTGCAAGGAGCCGAAGACGGTAATCATTTGAGTTAAAACCGATGAAGGTCGCCTGCCGGGCCGCTGCATCCGGTTGCAGCGAGAAGAAAAACCAATAGGTTTTCCTCTGATGTATTTGACTTTTTGATAGCAGATGGAGTTTACAGTATGCTGGGCTGGCCCTTGTGGAAGTGTGTACCCGACCGGGGCTGGCGTGGGGGAGGGTTCTTCGTTGCACACGACTGAGGTCTAGATGCGGTGTCCAGGGCAGATTGGATGGCGGCAAGAAAATCTTGTGGGAGGCGCGGTAGAAGGCAACCGGTTACGCGTGGTAGACGCAGTCAATGTCCCACTAGCTAGAACTATACCTCGCAGGCCCGGCTGATTCTGGGCACTCTCGACTCTCGTGGGCCTTTTAAGTCGATTGATGGTAACGGCGACGTCTCATTGACAGCCCAGTGTTTTTGGGTGTGAATTGGACTGAGAGGGGGGATATGACGACAGCCAGAGGAGAGACAGCTTGTAGCTCGCGATCGGGATGCCGCCGCCCAATTCCGTCTTATTGTATGCGAGGGTTAATGACGCGGTTAGCTGCATGGAAGCGACGGCCCCATCGGCGGTTTATTGAAGGTTCCATTGAGCCCAGACAGAGTCGAAAATATTCCTGCCCCGGCTACGGCCACGTAAAAGTTGGCTGATAACGACTCGGGCGACGGGCGTTAATTTGGGGTGTCAAGCCTTGTACTAGATTGATGAGAATCACGCACGGAAGTTCGAATAGGGGACGGACGCTGAATCATGGACTCTTGCGAGGGATGAAGACACGGCACCATGGATGACCTAGCCGGAGTTCACAATCTTTACTGGGAAGGGGCCCCCATATCCAATATGCGCCGGCCAACATTCACGCCAGGATATCACTGGACACGCCGTCTCCCGGCATGTCAGGAACCACTGAAGAGGCTGCGGTCGAGACGAACCACCTAAAGAAAGACGCGATACTACGCAGAGTTCATCCTGGACGTTGCTGACTCTTGCCATCCCTCATCAGTGACACTGTTGCAGCCGTTAAGTGGGGGCGGGTGGGCACCCGGGCCAATCTGAAGAGCCCACACTTCCCCCGATCTTACCTAGCCATGATTGGCCTGGTCCATCTGGCACTTTCCAAGTCAATTAAAGTGTTCTTGCCTTGATTTCGCAAAATCCCTCTCCAGGGCGGTGCACATTGGCGGGATGTGTAGATGCACGCGCACAAGCGGCCTCGCTCTGCGCATGCACTCATCTGGATTGTACCAGCCTGTGGGCCCACAGGCGTTCCGTCATTCGCTGGTCGCGCGAGGGCGCGATGCGAGTGCTGTGGTACTGCTGACGGGGTCACGCAGCTGACGCAATGCCGGTGCAGAAAGTGCGGTGGTCGATCTCCGCGTACGATGCTGACTGGAAATAGTAACACGGATGCTTCAAGGTTGGGTGACGACTGAGAAAGTTGGCAGTTGTGCCAGGTGGGCGAAGAGGCCAACGTTGTGGACTCTCACCTGAAGACAGACGACCGGAATCCCGCCCCCACAACTTCAGGCGCAGCAGCTGTGAGTCGGACATTGGAACGCAATGCACTACCAGAGTGGCCGGGCCACCAGCGGCCACGACCCACGACGACAACGACGGCAACGACCCGGGGGCTCCCAATGCGGAATACCATGGTGGCCATCTCCCGTTCGTGGTCGGGTCTTGGGTTTGTTTCCTTAGGCTCTTGGGTCGTGATTCTAGCGTACCACAAAATCGGCCTCCATCAGAGACAATAATCCCAACCTGGCGTGCTGGCTGGCAATTCCAAGCCGGTGCCAATCAACGGCCATGGCCGCTCATCCCTCGTTGCAACCCTGCAATGCCGATGCCGTTCTAGACCGTCCACTGGCATGTTCAGTCAGCCGCCCACACGAATGCTCACGACCACCTCGCCTTGTCTTGTCTGCTCACCCATGCATCGCGTTGCGTCTGTACTTTGCTTGTGCTACAGCAGCCGTGGCAGGTTGGTTCATCACTGCCACTGCTATCGAGGCCGCCCGGCTGGCCGACCTTGGGAATTGTTTGATGATCAGGTTGTTGATCTTCCACGCAATCGGCCTGCCTGCATGCCTGCCTATATGCAGTGCATGTATCATAGGTCCGTGTTTTCTTGCTCGAGCGCCTCGGGAGTGCAACGCCGGATGTGGTTCCCGGCATTCATATTATGCCGTTGCTTTTCATAGCGGACCCCACGAGACGGTACGACGTCAACCCGCAGCCCATGGACATCGCATCTGTCAAGCTTCCACGGTCCAAGGTTTTCAAGCTTCGAACTGGGCAACAGGTCCCTTCTGCGGGGCACATATCGTGCTCCCATGTGTCTATCCGTACATCGTACGCCAGGTAAACCCACTAGGTACTAAGTAAGGTACTATATCAAGCAAACAAGTGGGGTGCAGACGCAGAGATGCAGGTGCAAAGTCTAATGGCAAGGCAGGTGCGAAAAATCCAGCAATCCAACGTGCGCCCAACGCAGGTGCAGGCGCTGGTGGTGGCCGAGGGGATGCCTCCATTGGTTTGGCAGAGGCGGCAGGTACGGTGCACCATTAGGACAAACCCGCCAACCCGCGGCCTAAAGTTGCGCCGACTCTCTTTCGCTCAGGCCCCCCCCCTATATAACGCCAACAAATCTGCTATCGTAGGGTTTTTTTCTTCAGCCAAGTGCTGCCATGTCTCAAATCCCTTGGGGTCACGTATAACTAGGCTAGATATAGGCAGGCTGGATATGGGCAGGCTGGATATGGGCAGGCTAGATATGGGCCAGCCCAGGAGAATGGGAGTACGGATACTGCGGCCCTGGCCACCAACGTCCATCATCTCCATGCTTTCATCCAAAGATATCTGTATACGTAGCCAGAGAAGGACAGTTACAGTAACAATAAATATACACTATCCAG